ACATTATAACGCCGTCCTTAATAAGAATATGTTTTATGAAGTTAAACGATTTAATAAGCGCAAAACAGACCTGTCAAAGTGAGCTTTTATGACGTAATAAACTTGTTAAACTTTGTTAATTATTTAATTACGCTGATGTCATGGTTGATTTAACCGGTTTTAAACAATGATGAAAGCACTTGCAATTCAATGTCTTGAACAAATTTAATTTACAATCTACTTAAGATTTATATAAAGAGACGACCGGGATACGAATCGGCATCTACAGCGTTTCGCGTTAGAGCAACAGCACGACGCTGTGGGGTCTTATTTGTGTCGCTATCTTTTTCAATTTATAATCAATTTTTAATTTAAATATAATCATAAGCAAACAAAATATTAAAGTTATATCATTTAATTTTAATATATTACCGACGTCGAAGACAGTGGATGGTGTGTCGAAAAGTTTGAGGCATAGGTAAAAAAAAGTTTAAAAGTAAACTAATATATTTTACGTTTAGAACCGTTAAACATCTTTCAGTTAAAATCAATCAATGCTTTAAACTTTGTTAGCTAAAACGTTCTTCCTTGACTAAGCGTCAATATTGCTGGATGCCAGTTAACTATCAGCTCCTCTACTAAGATACAATATTCCAAGAACTTTAGAACTTCGCCTTAGATTGAATACTGGGAATCGCTGCCTTTTAATTAACGCTCACAAACTAAAACCTATATATTGAGAAACATTTAGTTGCATAACTTATCTTTACTCGTCTTATTGCTATAATAATACTACCTGAGCCAGCGACTTCTTCCCCAACCAAATAGCTCACTATGTGCATGCATTTAGCGTGTAGCTCAAATAAAACTGTACCTAAACCTATTCCTCCTCTTATAGTTTCAAAGGAGCCACATAACACCAGATTTCTCTTGATCTTTCCTCGCGATATTCACGGAGAATATTCCTTGGAGATTTCAGGTAGATCCGGCCATTACGCGAGTGTTGCGAATTTTCGGCAAAAATATGCACGTGCAAAATATTAAGGCTTCAGTTGCATATTTAGGGATTTTTTTCACTGGCCAGACGAGAGATGAAATACTCAGCCCTATAAAATCTAATTAAGGTGCGTTTTTTACTTATATTTTAACTTATTACACACGACTTTTCATCTTCTATCTATGGACTGTGGTTCGTAACCCGGAAATTTATAGATTAAAAAGACGGGATGTAACATTGTTTAATTTTCAGGTGGGACTTGAATTGGCATCCACAGCGTTCGCTGCTACTGCCCTGAGCAATTGAGTTATCGGGTCAAGTTTTAAATAATAATATAATGCCATCATGTACCATAAGATGTGACTAACAATCGTTTAATTTCCCAATATTCCCTTACAAACTTCTCTCTCATCGAAGTACGTACAGCAGATTACTTATTCTACACAGTCGTCTGCAAATATTCAGCGGACTATCAAAACCTAGTGAGGCTCCCAAACAGTCCAATTGTGTAGTGAAAAATCCTGCGGGTGTTCGTAACACGACTTATCCCGGCTTAGTCCAAAGAATGTGGAACAAAAAACGATTATCTCGGCTTAAACGTGGGGTTTGCGGCCGCCGCATATCGGTAAATAGCGCTATTGCCTACCGAATGCTAGGAAAGGATTACATGAGTTTTAGTGCCTACCTTTTGAGCGTCGGATTTCGACCGCTCGGGGTGTTATCTTAAACGAGATTATATGTTTCGGTCGAAATTACTAAAGAGCTATGCTGTGAGCTAACAGAGATTATCGAGTGTTCTAGATGTTTTCTTTTGTGGCAAGAGGAGAAAGAGATAGATAAGTCATATAACTAATTTTGGCTGTGGTATGTGATTTCTTTCTGCTACATCTAACTATATCCCCGCGTGCACCGATTGTAAAAAGCAATGGTTATGTTTTAAAAATCGAGAATAAATTGAAAAAATTTTCGACTCGGGCAGGACTGGAACCGGCATCGTCAGCGTTCCGTGCTGTTGCACTACCAATTGAGCTACCGAGTCCTACACCTCATCGTCGATTTTTTTCAACTTATTGATACATGCACCTCTCGCGCAATGTAATTTCAACCTTAACACTTGCGTATTAAGGTTCAGCGTCATATGCTTAAGAAATCATTGAGGATGAAATTATATAGTCCCTTCATGTGCAATAACATGTAAAAAATAATAAGTTTTCAAATGGTGATATTGTTAAAAATTTGATAACCATATTTAAACTATTAAATTTGGTCAAGATTATTAATAATACTTAACCGTCGACTATTTTTAATTAAATAAAACTATATAGAAACGTTTTAGAATATTTTTCGTTTATTTTCGTTTCATATTTTATCGGAAACACCCTTGACAGTAAGACTTCATTTAAAGTATTTACAAATTTATAACAAAACGCTTACAGGCGTATAGAAAAACATTTTAAACTATAAGCCCTTTTACAATGTCCAAGTAAGGTTTAAAAAAGACAATTTTAAAGGTAAACTTGGAGACGGTAAAAGCGCCCGACGAAATTAGATATTTTATATCTATAAATACAAAACAAATTCTTTATATTTTTCATTCGAAACTTGAAATCGTTAACCTTCTTTTAAACTGTTCAACTTTGTGTCGGTTACTAATACATATATTAAAAATCAAAAACCAAACACGATCATGTACTTGAACTATAGATAAATATAATTTCATATGAATTTACACCAAAAATGATTACAAATTACCCTTCAATTAGAACGACTTTATAAAATAATTTAAACTTAGCGCTATCAATATAAATTGCTAATTAATCTGCCATAAATCAAAGTGAACTAGATACATACATAATGCGTATTTGTTTCACTAAAATTGAAATAAACATTTCCCACTAAGTAACTAAGAATTAAATTTTCAATTAAAACATTTAAAATTCTGTCAAATGCAACTCTTGTGGTATCTTAACTATTGTTTAGATTAACCGTATTATACAAAATTTGTATTATGTATAACATTGTATATACAGAGTCTTCCATAACGGACAAATTGATATTATTATATAATCTATACAAATACCATAGTTGGAATTATTTTAAATTACAAATTACATTGTTGTTATTGATTATCAGGCATCGTTAATTAATTTTGTAACAATATTACAATGAAGATTCATAATGTACTTACTGTAATAAATGAAGTAATTGTGTGTTCTGAAAATAATTAAATCTATGGTATCTGTACGTTGTAATTGATAATATTTAACTTATTATCACAATTTAATATCTATGGTTACATTATTTTTGTATCTGTACATTACTACAATATAAGCGAAAGAAAATATTATTAAAGAAGGAAATTATTATCTAAACTATATTTAAAAGGTCGGGATACACTAAGCCTTTTATCATTATTTTTTAATATGGCAGTCGACGACAGAACATTAAGACATAAATGCTATTATTTCTGTACTTTGAGCACCTTCTTTTTATGATAGAGGAGGATAGCCAAGCACGGAATTCACTTGATGGAGAGTGAAATATTAAATCTCAACAAGATGTGCTGTCAATTATTATATGTACTCTTTTGTTGACACAAAGTGGAAAGTGATGTAGATCGGTTCAGTTTTAAAGTTAGAAGCTTACATTTTTGTTTTTAGAAAGACAAAAAAAATAAATATCTTTTACTTCGGGTTTCTTAAAAGTCCTTGGTGTATACCCAGCCTAAAAATTGAACGGTAAGTAATACGTAGCGATGGCTAATCATACTTTAATTATAATTTCGGTATGTTATTTAATTACTTTAAAAATTTCACAACCGTTTCACTAAAGAAAAATAAAATAACGTTAAAATTACGTATTTGAAATCAAATAGTTCTCAATTACGCTAAGACTATTTACAATATAATTTACAAACAAGTTCAATTATTAGTTATTCCTAACTAATTGGTTAGTTTTGATTGGAACAGTAAACATAACTAGGTCTTATGTGGCAATCTGTTACCATCGATGTGCCTTACTTTGATTTTCATGTTATGATTTTGTTGAGTTTTCTCATATACTAAATTATATATGAGAAACTCAACATTACCTCAATATTTGTATAAATCTATAAAAGACCCAACTCTTCGTAAAATAAAATAGCAGAGTGAAAATATTCGAACCGTTGCGTTTAGCAAAAACATGTTTGGGACGTGCTTAATATCTAAAAAAATGATTTAAGATATATTTATTCTTAGATTGTGTTTATTGCGTTGGATAGGATATAACAGTCTAGATTTAGACCAAGTACTTAATTAGAAAATTATAATAAGTGTCATCAAAATGACTACCTATGTACAAACTAGGTTTATTAATGCCAACGAAACGAGATACAGAATGTTAAATAACCTTAAGGAGTTGTCTGTAGTTTATGCGAGTAGTAAGCATTAAAATAACACAAATCTAATGGTTTAAAACGCGAGTTTATTAGTTAGTCTCTCAAAGCATCCGAAACGTCGGGTTGTAACTAATATATTTCGCGTTTTAAAACGTTGAAAGTGCGTTTTTTTTTAATTTTTGTGGGCTTGAAACATAAAATTCTATTGTTGACGTTATTATTTTATCAATATTTAAGAAATATATTTATTATTTGGTTGTTAAAAAATTAGCAAAATAATCAAACTTGCTTCGTTGAGTACAAGAGACAAGTTAAAAATTGAAAATAAACGTTAGCAGTCCACTATTAACGTTTCAACATTCCCCCTCCTCTCTCACAGAAGAGAGGGTCTCAAAGACCCACTATGCTGGTCCAGTGAGGATCGGTGGGCTTTAACGACCGCCGCCACTGAGTTTGTCATGACAACTGTAACCGACGGCTCTCCTTTCGTTGGCTTTACTCAACTTTACTCTGCTAAAATAACAGTCTTAATATTTTCATTATTACGAGTAAATTAAGCGCTATGTTAGCTGAACGATTTCACTCAAATCGCCTTCGTAATCACAAAGAGTCCTTTATTTACAAGTTCTATAGCTGGGTCGTCTGTCAGAGGGGGGTGTCGCGGGGGGGATGTCGTGGCAACGGAGTCGGCGTTGCCATCGGTCTGGGCAACGTGCGCAAATGCTGTAGTGGGATACATCGGTCGCCCGCCGCCATAGCTGTAAGGCCCGCGCTGGACCCGCGCGGCAATGTACACGAACCACTGCCGAAGCCCGCGGGTGGCGGGATCCCTTGCTGGGTCTAAAAAAACGATGACTTAAAAATAGACAAGACGAAACGACGAGGTCTTTTAATATGAAAATTTATAGAAGTATAGATATAGAAAAAGGATAAATTTCATTAGCAGGTAATATGAGGTTTGAACATCATTACTTTGTTACAATATACAGTTCTCTGAATAAAAACTACCAAATTTAATCAGTGTGTTAGTTAGGTCCGTAGCAATATGAGTATTGTTAATGTTAATATGTTAGTCACTAGAATTAAGAAAAAAAGGTAAGGTAATTATATAAAACTAACTTGGAACCTTAGTACTTCAAACTGTATTTGAAGTTTTTTTTTACATCCGAATGAGCAATTTAACCTATAATTTTGCTATATAAAGAAATATTTAATGTACTAATATACTGTATTACATTACCGACTACGCCATTTTGATATAAAAAAGGTATAACATTCTCATACTTGACTCAGCGAACTATCAATCATGGTTTGATGCTGTGGCGGCGCGGTCCTCAGAGGACAGTAAGCGGGGATACTGCCCCTCACCCCGGCCACACTTCCCCGGGGCATTCTGGACCCAGGAGGAGGTGATATCGTCGATACTTGTTGCTTTCTGTAGTAATCTAGCTGCTGGGTGGAAATTTTTGATTGATTCATTCGTTGTTAAGTATTTTTTCCTTGTACAAATAAGAAAACATCAAATTAATGTTTTTATTAGGGATATTGCACCCTTGTTTTTTGTTATTTCTTTACTACTTCGATTTGATTCGAAGAAATAGTATATATTATGTTTATATACTATTTCTTCACTGTTTTCTAACCAGCTAAAACATTCGTTAATAGAGAAACTAAAAACGTTATTTTCTTATGACAGACGAGCAAGGATGCGGCAGAAGCAATGTGTTGGGCGATAACCCAGAATAAAATACCTGTAAGTGATCCGTATCAGACGGGATAATATCTGGATTTCGGTCATCACTTTCACTATCATCCTTTTCTCTCAGTTTATCTGGAGAGCCGGGCTGCGAAGACGGAGGTGGACCAGACCTGGGCTTCCGTTTCGCGCATTTCTGCTTCACCCCAATGAGGAACAGTACCAATACCACCATGATCACACCACCGACACCGACGGCTGCTGACATGGCTCCAGACATTTGAAATGCTGTTCTTGGTAAGTCTGTGGGGAATAAGTGATTTATAGGGTGCGTTTTCCATTAAACTAATAAACTAATCTACGCGAATCACTAATAAACTGTATTCCGCTTCTATAATCACGCACACACGCACACACACATTATTTCAGTCAGTTTTAGTTGGGTGTCAGAAGAAGTTACAGAATGAGGAACACAAAGTAAAAGAGCCCCACAAAAAAATTGACTCAAATGGAACTGGGCAGGGCACGTTATCGGGATGTCAAACGGCAGATGGGCAAAAATTGCGACGGAATGATAGCCAAACGACCACGAGCGAAAGATGGGTAGGCCCAAAAGGAAATGGTCAGGTGACATCAACTTTCAAAAACGTAGTGGAGAAAAAAAAGAAACATGACAGAGTGGGAAAAGATGGGGGAGGCATTTTGCGACGCCAACATACATTGCGCATAATATTTAATGGTAATTATATTATAATATATTTTTAAAGTATAATAATGTAAATAATAAAAAAATGTAATTTTATTTTTTTGAATGAAATTTGTACACAGTACCTTGAGAAAGGACACAGGTTACTTTTATTGCAAAAAAGGGGTTGTAAGGGGTTAAAGGGGGGGGATGTTTGTATGGAATTTGTATTCGTGCTTGGAATGGGAGTGGGAGTGGGAGTGGGAATGGGAGTGGGAATGGGAATGGGAGTGAGAGTGTTGCGGCAAAGTAGCACTTACAGCCTAGATTGGTTGCGATAAATTCGTAATTACAATATAAATTAATAAACAGCCTAAAGAGTTAAAAATTCTACCCCAAGTCACTATTCCACGCAAACGACGTCGCGGGCACAGCTAGTTATTGAATAAATATTTTTTTATGACAAAGGAAAACAGATGGGATTCCCTTATGGAAGATACAATTTTAACCATACTATTAATTGATTAGAAACATAACATAAAAGCCTCAGATGGGAATCAAACCCACAAACCATTGATTATTAGTAATACATGGCTACGAGTAGGCCAACAAGCCCATTGAAATTTCACTTACCCAAGCTCTTGTCATGGACGTGGTGTTTTTCGGGGGGCCTAAGAGTACTGGCACGTAGGGGGTAGGGATCTCCCCTGCCCTTAGCATTGTATGCTAGCACAGCCGCCGCATATGTCCGTCCAGGTATTAACCCAATGGCCGTAAACCGAGGAACGGCACTGGACACATTCGCGACTAGTTCCTGTAGAGTTGTTCAGCATACATAAATATGACTAAGCACATGTTTGTAAAGTTTGACTTATTTTATTTGCATATTTACTTTTATTAGTAAGTTTTTTAACTGTATATAAAAATTAACAAATAATGTAGAGAGAAAACATAACCTAATTTTTTATTACAGGACATTCACCGAAGGTCTATATAATTGTGTGGTATATAACCATGCAAACTATCCACTATGTAATGTAAACGACGCTTACAAAACATGGGAAACACATACATGCTAAAATTGTCAAAAAGGTTCCCAAAATGGCCGCGAAAGCCTTATCCAAAAAAAAAGTCAAGTAGTGGGTTACCTGCGTTAAAATTTCTCTGACTTCGAGAAGAAAAGATTGCGGCATGCCTCCATTGAAGCCTTCGGAGCATCGAATCCCAAACGACGTGAGTGATGCGTTCACCACTGAGCAGTTGTGGACTTGGTCGGGACGTCCTTTTGGGAATTATTTTGTTTCATTATTACATTAAATACACTAATCGTATTGACCCTAAAATTTATGACACATTTCTTAAAACTAGAAACTTACTGAGTAAGAACAACAGCACGCATCGCTGTGTCCGTAGGTTCATTTCGATAAGATTGTACATAACTTTCGATGTGAAAATATGTATAAAACATCAAAGACGCTTGTACGCCGTAAAATTGATTTAATTATAATTAATGTTCGGTCTAGGATTAGCTTAAAGACATTTAGCTTTTCATGCGCTCTTGTTTTCTATTATTTGTATCACTTGGAAACGATCCGACCTAAACCTTCTCCCTCAGCATTCTCACAATCCGCCATTGTCTCGTTGTAAAGACATAATGAGGTACAATCAAGCGCAAAACGCAATATTTAATTCCGTAATTCCATTGTGGAGCAGCCAACATACCGGCGGCAATAATGTGATACACGCACGGAACCCTCTGTTTGCCGATCCTATTGTGGGCCCAGCACAAAAGCGTCCCGTAATCCATTTCCGTGTGCGGTGTGTACGTGACTGTGGATGTCGTCCCGGCTCGGGAGATGTACGTGTCACTCACTTCGTTGCTGTTGGCCGTGTTGTTGAACGTCCAACGGAACTGTAACAACATTCGGGAGTTCTAGAAGTTCAATTTTTTTATACTTACCATATAGACGTAGCGTGAAAGAGGGAGCTTTCTGTTGCACTAGGGGCTTCGCCACATTAATCTTTTTGTTTTTTTTTTCCTACAATAACCTCTCTATCACAAGTTATCTTAGTCTTGAATAGAAAAAGCAACGGAACTCTCAACGATATCAACAAATTTATCACCAACCAATAACAGGGGGAAGTTCTTAACAAACTCATTAATTACTTTGGAACTCACGATGCGTAGGCCGTTTGCACATGGGCGTGAACAAAATACATATTTCTTAAAAAATTATTATGGTCTTATTAAATCAAACATTATTGATTTTGGATAATCTGAAATTCAGTCAATACACATTGTAGACACACACAAAAATAAACAAAAGAATGACGCAAAGGGCGCTGTTTGAGGTCGTTTTATTTAAATAGATAATACTAAATTCATACTATTACTATATAAAACATAAAGTTAAAGAATTACGACGTTTTGAATGCTTTGCAGTAGTCATGGTCAGAAACTGCAGATGGAGGTCCATAATTTTAATTTAAAATTTGCTACGCTAGTGCCATCTTTTTCTCGTGATTTGTATTGGCAGAAACTACTTATTTTTATTACAACACAGCCGTCTAATCTAGTTATAAAACGTTGAAAATACGCAGACCAGCTAACTAATGATCGGCAATAACACGACCAATGTGCGCAGTGTAATATATAATTATGACAAGTAACACAGAACAGATGTTCTCGTATAATTGGCAACTTACGCTAACTTCAGGCGGGTTGGCATCAACGTGACATGATATGTGAGCTCGCTCCTGCTTCGCTACTCCGTGCACCCTTTGCTGGGAGCTTCTGCATGTTGGGGCATCTGATAAAAATGCAAAAAATGAATACCCGCTTTCCCCTGTAGGGCATGGGGCGTACTTATTTGTTTGGCAAAATATATAGTTATAAAACCTTGTTAATAAAAAATATAAGAAATAAGAACAATGTGTAATAATGGAATTCGAAAATAATATTAAATTTTGTAATATCAAATAAGTTATGTATATATAGTCCGTTCATTGGAACAATAAGACAATTTACTACAGAACCATTGATGAATTGAATTACTGAAATGAAAAAAAAATATATCTATATGTAATAGCAACACTCTAAAACGTAAAAAAAATAAACGTATGGCAATATAAAAAAAAAGAAAAATAGAAACATTTCCCAGTATTTTTTATTAAAGTCATCATCAACATTGGCTTATTAAAGTCCATAGAAAAATACTCTCGTCTTCAGCAAGTAATACTACATGTATGTTTTTATTAACAATTGTACATGATGACAGAAATTAAAAATAAGGTTGATTAATTTTATTTCCTCATTCTCGGCAAAGCCGAATAAATACTAACACAAGACGTCCAACGAAAATGGTTTGCTTTCTCCATCTCCCTCCGCATTGAAGCCTACGCAGGTGTAGTTTCCAGCTGTTTTGCGCCCGACTCCTTGCAGCACCAGCGATTGGTTGCTGATGATGACGCCTTGGCCCACGTTGTGTATAAGAGTTTTGCCCTGAACATTAAGTTGAAATAAATTATAGGTACAAACTAAACCAATGTGTCCCACATTCTATTTTCATATATTATTTTTATGACCCCTTCACTGATTAAAGGCGGGACGTTAGGCTTTTGGCGATTAAAACAAATCATTTATTACGATAGGAGGACAAACAAGCGTGGGTTTAAATAGTGGTGAAATACTCCAGCCATATAAGAATTTCGCAAGGCGCGCTAGCAAGCCTGTTTTGGTTTTGGATACAGTAGTGATGTTGAAAATACACGGACTGAACTAAAATCGAGTACATTACACAGACACATGAATACACAGTTATATTTATTTTAAACATACTCGTATTCGTTTAATTTACAGTTCACTACTGTAAATTAAACAGAAGTAACTATACAATAAAATATGATCACATCCCTAAATTTATTTTTTTGAGTATAATTTCGCGTTCAAGGTGTAGGCTTTACTATCTATAAAGGTCGGTTAGTACAGTGTACCTACGAACAGCATAATCTATAATTACATTGTATATTAATTAAAATGACAAAAATGAGTACAAGTAAGAGTACTTTGTTTTTCTAACTCTACCTCATATCCTAAAATAAGCCACCAATGTTTACGTTATTTTCAGAATCGGAATATGATGATAAAACCCGAAGCAAATATTTGAATTTTGAGAGCGATTTTAACTCACAATTTATTTAGTCAAATATTTATGAAACTTCAAAGGTACGAATTAATTGGAAAGTATTTTGTTAACATCGCACTAGTGTATTTCGACATTTATTGGCCCGGCCTGCTTTCATCTTTTAATTATTTTGTTGTACGTACTAGATCTGATTTAATAAAACGAGAGCCCCTGTAAACTTAATTATATTAGGAACGTGGAAGACTTTGTCTACAAATTAATTTTCATAAGTTCCTAATTCCATAGGTCGATAGAATTTCCTTTTTAATTTATTCTCGGAAAATAACATTGTTTTAATTTATGCCAAACACATTCGACAATAACCTACGAATCCTAATATCTGCCTAACTTAATACTTATTACCTACAACTACACACGAATCCAGTAAAGAACACTGTAACAAGAAAGTCTCTATCAAAGTGAAAGAGAACGAAAGAGAAGGAACTGAAAAAAGGTTGTTCAAAACGTTATGATTACTATAATTGCCAAGAGATAGTTAAATTAAAATGAGTTGTTTAATCATCCATGTTGTTAAATATATCACAGTTTACCCGAGAGGGTTTTATTCTTTATATTTCTCCAAACGAATGGAGAAATTTAAAAAATACAAATAAGCTAAAAACAATGAGGATAAAAATCGAGACTACCCAACAAAAAAAATTAAAAACATTGTCCGTCCAATACGCCTGTTTTACAGGACACCTTTAGAAAAAATATAAATACTTACATTATGCCGCCATTCCACCTTATAAACGTAGGGGTGAGCTCTGATGATGCAGTCGAAGTAGACATCTGTTCCTTCACGAATGTTCCGCGGGTCTAGATTGGTCCCTAACCGCACCACTGTTTCTGGTACATCTGGAAAATATAGTCACGACTTTAGTACTGACTGAAGCATTATATTTCAAACACTTCTTCTACACCCAAGTATACACATGAGAGATGTGCAACGTTTTTATGTGTGAATGTTAAATGTGGTAACTTAGATTCTAGGCAAATACCAAGTACGGTTGTTGTGGCACTGACGGTTGACAAAATGGCATTCATAGATGACAGACGGTTATTGACATTATTATTTTGACATAGCGTGTGCGTAAGAACAGTCTTGTCCTCGCGGGCAGTCGAGTTCCAATAATAAAGCGTTTTTCAGTCTTTTTTCACAGCCAATAGTCACGAACCACCGTCGGTTACTTATTGCTGCTTTATAGAACTTATTGGATCTCAAAAAGCACTTGGATCGATTAAAATAATCGTTGCGTATTTTGGGTTTTGTACGAAGAAACACTTATTTTCAGAACTCTATCGGGCTATCCGACCACGCTTGTCATATACATACATTGAATATCTAATATCCAGTCATCTTCTAAAGGTGCTACTGAAGGCATCTGAGGGTTAGACGCGCGGCAGGCAAGCTTGGCGCCCGCGTCTGACTTGGTCAGTTGGAGGGACACGGTGGATGTTGTCGTATTCCCATCTGTGGACAACTGTAATATACCTGATTAGTTTAAACTGCATTTAAGCCAATGGTTTTATAGGCAAAACAACTAAGTAGAAGAAGACACTCGATCCTTCTTAGAAGTGGTTTTTTAAAGAATATCCTTTCACATAAATTTTATATTTACGCATTTTCTTAAGTTGTAAAAAAACCTTAAATACATAACTAATTAATTATTTTTCTTCTTTTTTAGGGGACGATATTAACATATTGCTTGAACCACTCAAAGAACTTGTATTTCTAGATCCAAGTCTTAGATAACCAACTTTTAGTCTTTCTTGGCGTTATGTTATTTAAACTAACTGTTTCCAATTGTAGTAAAGAGTGAAACCGATTTAATATCTCTATTTAAAGTTCAAATATAATATTACGAGAGAAACCTCTTAACATAGAAAATGGTTAAAATAAATGTAGACGATCTTCACGATTCTTCCGAATTTCCATTATATTTCCAATTTTGGGGTTTCCTTTTGTATGATGAATATACCTCAGCCTTATAACATTTAATGAAGTTGGGCTGCAGATCTTTTTTGGCTAGGTTCATGTCTCAAATCAAATTAAAAATATCTCCTGTTTCTTAATATTCGTTCTCAGCGCGTAGTTTACGTAGCTATACAGCTATGCTCAGATGAGTAGAATGCTTAAAAGCATAGTAATTAAAAAATATACAACAAATAATAACAAATACTTCATCTTTACTATTAGTAGCTTAATTCAAGATATATTCGCTCGGGTTCAAAATAATGGCGAATTCTGCTTTTAATTGCGTTGCTAGAGACTCTTAACGTTTAACATAATATTGTAATTATTTCTCGCACACTCTAGTATCTTTTGCGACCCTGGTATTTAAATTAATTGAGCGCTTAGTAATATTAAACATTGTATGCTAATTAAAATAGTTATTATTGCATATTCCAGCTGCTCTAAGAATAATAACCGCCCACACATTTATAGACAAATATAAGAGGTTACATAGGCGTCTAAATTTAAAGAAGAGTATTATACAATGATTTTGGCAGTGGTTACAGAAAATTAACTGACAATTTTTTCTCAGCTAGCGTAACGTGGCTTTGAGTATTCCGTAAGCGATTTTCAATTCAGATATTGCACATATTTGTTAAGCGTGTAAAAATTGGTAAAAATTTTAAATTAAAAAGATAAAAAATTTGAAAAAACTCTTTTAATTAAAAATTGTAAACTGACACATAAATAAGAAGACATGAATATGGTTGAAACACTATTGCTTTAATTTATATACAATAAGTGTCAAACAAATATACACTTTCTTTTACTATTGCGAAAATAACAATAGACACATAAACTAAAGACAAGCTAGGGCTCACTTAACTTAAGTCCGTCTGGTATGGCGTCTCGCTTCTGAAAATAGGGGTTTCCTGAATTTAAGTCCGTCCGCTGTGGCTTCGCGGGGGCGAGTGTCAGGGAATGCTGGGGCCTGGGGCGCCATTATATGGGCCCGGTGATGTCATATCGGATGATGCAATTCCATATTGATGTTGAGTCATTTCAACGTAAAACTAACATAATACATTTATACAAAAATTAAATAGTTAAATTATAAATTTAGTTGAACAATGTTTTGTTAGTAACTAATTCGTTTTATTTATAAAGAAAATTTTACATAAAATACATGATTCAAAATGAGTTATAATGTATCTTAAACTGAACTATATAATGTACTAATTGGTTAATGTTAATAGTTGTTATATAGTTAAATAATAAAAATTAATTTAAAATTTTGTAAATTAAGAATAATTTAGAGACAAATACAATTTTCTACATACAAATTGTGTGACTAAAGAAAAACTTGAATTGAAAAGTTAAATTAAAAAAATTAGTGTAAAAAAGAATTAAATATAGGTTGCTTACAAGAAAGAAATAAATAAAATAAGCCTCCTTATTACTTCTGTGTAGCACAACGAACTTAGTCAAAAGGACTGTACCTATTTCCGTACTATTCAATTTATCGAACATCTCATTACATATTTTAATGAATCTCTTTGAATAGATTGATGGAAGCAAGATCCACATTTTGTATCCAATCAATTTTGTATGGTTTCTTTGAGGTGAATTCTAATTGAGTACAGAATCGATCAATATGGTGTGCGTTCAGAATGAAACAATACTAAATATACGATGAAACACCAAATAAATTTAAGCTAACAAATTAAACTACACAAGCTTCGATATATAACTTTCACGTGATAATAAAAAACATAAACTTTTTTCATCGTGGTCTAAAGTACTAGTAAAATTGCATTAATGAAATTAAGTAATATTAAATGCATTTTCATGTAAAACATACATCATGTCGTGCATTTAAAAACAAATTGTTGCAAAATATAAATTCTTAAATTCTTAAATTTTCTTGAATTGGTTGTTTAGTTAATAAAGCAGGAACAAACAAAACATAATTAAAATTAATATGACATAGATAACTGATATTCGTACATTGAACAATAGACAAACTACAGCTTTATCTCTAATGATTAAAACGTTTAGACTTTAGAGTGAAACAGTTGCGACACAACAAAAGCGCATTTCTTGCATGTCACAACTGTTTTTAATAATCTGCGCTACAGATGCCTAGAAGCTGATTATCGTATTAATTATGCTCCGTCATATATCACGATTATGTAACAGCAATTACACGATATTGTTCTAGTAATTAAGCGGCTGTATTCATTGGAGTAAACTAGATATTTCCTTGTCCATACAAGTATACCCATGTATCATTAATCCGATTCTTTTAGATAGGTGTTTACATTAATAGTATATATATAAATATACGTTAAAATCATTTCGACTTTAATCAAGCTTTAATATTTTTTAAAATGTATAAATAAAACAATCTTGTATATTAATACTTTTGTGTTCATTAAATATTTTATTGCACGAGTTAAAAATTAAGCACATTGTATTTTAAAACCATTTTGTTTTACTGTCAGCCTCAAGAACACCACCGATGGTCATCCGACTGGTCACATGAAACCATGAAAAAGGTATAGCTTTTTTAAAATAAAATACGTTTAACTTGTTACATATTAGTTAGCTTATTTTTATTTGAACTATGGATGCTTTGAAGCAATCGTGTCCACGGAGGCCTGAAAATAATGTCAGTCTTCAGTCATCGCTTTTCGTGTTTTAAACCGTTAAAATTATCTTATTTAAATGTGCAATAATCACATAAAGTACGGCAATACTGAACTACATCTGTAACCACTTATGTTATTCCACCGGAGACGTGTATTATATACCAAGTGTCACTGTGATCGAATATTTAAAGCCATAATAAGTCGAAAACACATAATATTATTTAAAAAATAAATGTCTGGGGTATTTCACCTTCCATCAACTGAATCCCCAGCCTGGTCTTTATCAAATCAAAAAAATCTACAACCACAGCGAACCGTCCCATTTTACCAATACAAGACTTGGTTGCTCAAGTGATAAAGCAACATGGAGAGTTGGACATGAACATATCGTAACTTCGATGCCTGCCCTTGTCGTCATTTTTTAAACTTAGCTACATTGTAATATTCAAGCCTAGCTATCTATACATGCTAGCTACAAATAAATGGTTTTAAGATATTATCTTAATTGAAAAGAGGAAGGACGGCGCTAATTTTCTTAAAAAGTGATAGGTCAGTAATCTTTATTGCAACGAGGAACAACACGACTAGAACAAGGGCACGTAAACGTAATAAATGTAGATTGAATGGGGGCGTCGCGCTCCAAACTTGTTCCGAACGCCCCGTAATGGCCCTGACTTTTTCATAATCTTCGAACTTCTTACTATGCGATAAGTATTCATTTACTGAAATTGCTACGTAGTTATAAAATCTTTCTTACTTGAAAGGTGCGTAGACTTACTTTTCAGTCAATTTCATCTAAAAACTTACCTGGGTTTCGAGCCCAGATTTAATTAACAAAATACAAGTCAATTCACACTTACTTAGTTGTTTATAAGTAATATAGAAATGTACAAACATTTATTTATTTATTAGTACTTAATACTAGCTGTGGCCACGACTTTCTTATTTTAGGCATTAAAATTAATTTTTGCAAACAACGTCCTCAGTTTTATAAATTGCAGATTATACCCAACGACGTCGCCCGCGTTCCGCTATTCCTGCGAGTTAATCTAAAAAGATATACATATACTGTCCGGGACATTTTTGTAAATTAATTGATGAATCATTCTTCTGCACATATTTTTTGGTTTCTTGAACTTATTTCACGTAGATCACCGTTTCTCAACTTTTGCTCCTATTAGCCGCAATGTGATGTTATATAGTCTACCCTTCCTTGATAAATGGTCTATAGCGCGTTTAAACATACAAAATCTATAGCATTATAATATTGAGTATAGATGAAGCTTCCTAAAATCGTACCCGTGAATGGTACGTACAGTAGTGCGGTCTGTTAGATGAAAACTCAATCAAAATTAACTATAAATTCGACATGTTTTATTTACAAATGTGGAAACTAAAGTATAATTGTGAGGCTAAATATTCTTTTATGCAAATATTTAAACACAGGTAGGTATACTTAAAAACGCGCCCTCGAGAAGTCCTGAAAAATCCCTAAACCTTCGCAGTGCTGAAGTGCATTCTCTCACCGTGAGAACTTTCACCTTATTTTTCACGAGCTCATTTTCTGTGTTTTCCCTAAATAGCGAAACGTGTTCAGCAACTTTGTTAGTGTAGGGTTGTTGACACGATTCGAGATTGATTAAATTTATCAAAGATAAAGCATACTGCATCCGCTCGGCACTAACACAATGTTATCAGAAAATTAAAGATTCATAAGGAAGTTGCGACGGATTTTCCAATCCAAATTTATCTACGGCTTTCAAAATATTATTACTCGTGATCCGCTAAACTAAACAATATCTACAAATAATTTTGTAAGAGGGTAACATTAAAACAAATATTTAGATTTTAGTTTGAGTTCTTTTAAAACTACTGTATACACGCGGCGTCCTATGTACGTCGTTTGCACATAAGCCGGATATATAAAGAACCAAATAAATATTATTTATTAATAAGAATATTATTCAGAACTCGAAGTAATCTTCTTTTTTCAATTGAATCTATGCAAAAAAAATATCAAGTGGTAATGGTTGTTTAGGCTGCTAAGATATTACGAAAAACGAAAAAAGTGTGTGTGGAACATAAAGTGGAAGTTTTCGAATTCTTCAAATTGTGATATTAACGACTTTTATATAACTTACCGTTTCTTTGGCATTATTTATCCGATGCCCGTTCTTCCACCACGTGATTGATGCTGGTGGTCGAGAGCCAGCACTTTGGCAGAGCAGGTCGTATCTGCGTCTTGCAGACAAGGGCTGATTGGATCCTAGGATGTGAACTGTTAGTGGGGGAACTGCGGAGAGAAAGATATTGAAAAGTAGATGTATGCCTTAAGTATATTGGCGTTGTTTTGTGAGATCACTTGCCAGGTTATGTCTGGTCAGATCAGGTTTTTGTTGCAACTATATAATAAGGATTTTATTTTGTTAAAACTAGTTCGGTTTAATTTAAATGAAACACGGTTTAAGTGGTGAAATATATAAGTAACTAATTTTTATTAATTTTAACTACCGAACACCGCGAGACAGTTCTTGAAGAACCCAGCTAGTTTCTCCGAATACCAATAACATTAAACGGGTGGCGCTAGTATAGCAAGTTTTATTTTGACTCACTATTAGGAACTATTTTTTTTAATGGTATTTATTTTTTGCGTTTTAAACCATTCAAGGTGTGCTTATTAAATGTGTGCTAATCGCGTATACTACGTATTGAGTTCAGTGGTTTTGATAATAAGGTCATTTTATCACTTCTGAAAAATTCACTACGGGCAATACTTTTTATAGACACACTATCGGAAATTGTCTGGCATTTAAAAGCAATCGGATATTTGACATTACGATCGATTGAATTCCACGTATTTGCCTGTGTGCGTTGTTCAGTCGCGTATCAAAATGGCCGCCGATAAAAAGCCGCTTTTTAGCAGCGAAGCTGTCAAGTGAAAACATTTCAACGCGACATTTAGGTCAAAACCGACGAAAGATTTTAAAGAAGTCGCAAGTGGCGCTGGCACATAGTTAACACTGAAGAGCCTTCGTCAAAGAATGTCTTTGAAGGCTAAAGGCTAAGGCGAAAAGTTAAATTTCGCTAAGAAAGGAGGTTTCAAATTGACACTTGTTTTTACATGTGGCCAATATTTACGGTACACTTGACTTATATGTACATAATGTTATATACATCAAACACGAAAACACGAGTTTACCGAAAAAAAGTTTGTTAATATGACGGTCCGATTTTGGAATAGCGGAGAAATTTAATAGTTTGTTTCGATTTGTCTGCCCACTTGACTGTAGATAAAATCGATGAATGAAATCGATACAGTGCCATCATGCCAGACTATAGTAAACGGGTTTACACGTTTTAGTGCTATTGCTTGTAACAATAAAAAAGCATTGATGCATTTTATATCTCGGTTCTTTTCTATTTTTCATCACACTAAAGTTGATGGAGACCGTCAATATGTTAAAAAGGTACTTGGTAGTGATAAATAGAAAAACACATCTTTTTTACAAAGGCCATATCACGTTACCGAGATTTTCTGACGATATCCAACTAAGTAAGTTTTAGAAAAATTATAAATTGATTAAGAACACGCTGGACCAGATAGATCTCAAGACTCCTTGATTATTAGCATACCATTAGACCAACGACCTCGTCAAAGTCATCAGTTGTCATTTTTTTTCATGTTTAAACTTATGCATACTTACAATTCATATCTAACGTTAACGTAGTCTCGATTGGATGCGATCGTAGGTGGTTCGATGCCCGGCAAGTGAACGCTGCTCTGACGTCAGTCCTGGTGAGAGGACCAACTCTTAAAACCCCTCGCACCGCGCCCCCAGATAGCACAGTCACTGGAGTATCCATTTCCACTTCATCTCGATACCATTTCACCCAAGGCCGGGGTCGACCTGAGAATTGAGAATAGGATAATTAATAAATTAGTTACTCAAAAAGGCGTGTACTAAATAAATGAAGATGCGCAAATTAAAAATGTACCCAGGCGGAATTCGAAGCCGCATCAGTTGTGTATAAACAGAAGTTTAAGAAAAACTTTTCTAAAACATATAACCTCAAAATTAGTTTTGAATTCTGGTTCATGCCAGTAAAAAGTCAAATTATTTTCTTTCTAAGGCTTTCACATTATTTAAAATTAGTTTTGATTAAATATAGTACAATTATTGGGGGGAATCAATTATTTATTTTAATCACATCTAAATACATCTTATCATGTGTACGTAGTGCATATCTTTATTTCGTGTAATTCTGATTCGAATATTTTAATCTACCTGTCATTATAAACAACCTAACTATCGATGTCTGAAAGTACTTAATTTTATATCATATTATTGACTTGATTTAGATAGTCATCGTCATGATTCGTTATCGTTTGTTAGACACGAGTATGTAGCAAATTGATCTCATCTTCATTAAAACGTATTATTACAAAACATGGTAGAATTTATTTGTATGTCATTATAATTAAATTATTTATTCTTTTTTGTACGGTTAATAATCATCAGGTCGTGGGTTCTATTTACTCCGGGTCCAACATGAAAGTAAAAGCCCTCGTGGGGCATGGGGCGAACCCATTTCTGTGGCCGTTTCACTGATCCGTTCTTTTTAACGGTTGTACGGTGTTTCTAACGCTTTTTGATCAGTTTTTGTGCCCTGTCTGACTGAAACAATTTTATGTTTCCCTGAGATTCAAACCCAGGAGCTTTAAAAATAACGCTAAGATCAAGCTTGCTTCTTATCAATTTGTATTCATTTGACATTCAAGTGACGTCATGTAATTTCCTGGGTTCTAAGATGAGAGTATGGACTTCGTGTGAAAATCGGTATATTAAATGAGTGGTAGGAATATCTTAATTCCGGGTCGCGAACCACCATCTACAGACGAAGAACCGTGACGTTTAATCGCTTTCATTAATGCAGTTTCAGTTTATGTATTTCCGAATATCTAAATTCTAAAGTCAAAAGAAGTCGACAAGTGAAGATCTTATCTATCATAAAAAAATACTAACTTTATATATAGAGATATACAAGCAAGATAATTCTTAATATTTATAAAAAAAACCCAGAATTGATTAAAATAATCTATGTTAATCTTTAATTCTGACAGTGACATAAACGAATCTATACTTAGCGATAAGATTAGTTAATGTACTTGTTATTGAATGATATGGGGTAAAAGTTTGACCCAAAGTAACATAATGTATTGAGTCCATAAAAAAATAAACCCCCTTCAAAATGTTTCAACACAATATCCTTGATTGTTCTGTAACAGATATGCAATCGAGGAAAATATTAAAAAATGCGACGTTTAATGAGATTAAGTACATACAAACATTCTTATTTTTAAAAGATGTCACAGTTATAAAATCGGTTCTGACCTTTGTTTGCTTTATAATGTTACAGACAAAAGAAGAACGTTGCAACTAATTACAATAATATAAGCATATATGACCGTCTCTGTTGCTCAATGATTACCTAGTGTAAGTGGTTTGACTCGAGAAACACATAATATGTCGTTTGGGGATAAAATTGTGATTGGGAAGATAAAACTAGTCAAATCTAAGGAAAATCGATTATTGAAACACAGATTAACAAACATACATATTGTATGCCCCACGCCCTGTATAGGGGAAGATCAGAATACCTATAACTATAACTTATTAGCACGTTTTTCAAGGAGTCTTGTCTATACTTTACGCGAGTAGTACACATTTAAATAAAACACTTTAACGGTTTAAACCGATCCCAACAAACGGCATACCGGCAAACGTGAAGACACCGTTAGTCAATTCTGTAAGGACCAGATTTGCCAAATACCAACTTCGACGGAACAGATGGCGCTAGCGTAGCAATTTTTTACTTTGACGTCAGAGACATCCTCCATCTTTAGTCTCCCCGTGACCACGGCTGCTGCAAAGCATCCGAAACGTTGGGCCGAAGTTAAAAATCATTTTCAATAAGTTTAACTAATATATCGCGTTTTAAAAGGGTAAAGTGTTTTATTTAAATGAGTCTTGTGAAATTTTTCACATCAAATTTGTCTTTACTTGTATTTTTTTTCTTTTTTTTTTTGTTGAATTTGGATTTTTTTTGAATCTTCTTCTTTTTGTTAAATGGTTTATTATGAGCTGTTAAGTTTCCCAAATATTGTAAACTTAAAATATATTGTATATCCAGAGTTCGAGATGAAGTCCAACATGTTTAAAAAATATATATAAAAATCATGGACCCGGTAGCCGGACCCATTGATTAGTAGACATACATTGCTACCATCACTCCAACGAGTTCGTTGCGTATAAATTGGCAATATGAATTTGAAACTGTAACTAAACTCTCGAGTGTTTACCTCCAGAAACATCGCACTTCAGGGTGAAGGAGTCGCCTTCGATGTAGGGGCCCACTATCGCTTGCTTCATGTCTCCTTTATCATCTGTTATCACCATCTTGTTGGGCGGCACTTTAAGTAAACACAGAAGTTAGGAACCAAAAATGAGGTCAATACATAATAATTTATAATATGAATTAAATATTGGCTGTAGTTTTTGCAAGTAACATTTAAATAAAACATATTTAACCGTTTAAACATGAATAACATTAATAAACTTTTTAATTACTTTAACTACAGTGACCACGGCTGCTGCAAAAAATAGAAAAGTCGGGTTGTAGTTATATTATAAAATATTATTAAGTATAACTATTATATTTGGCATTTTAAACCAGTAAAAGTGTTTTATTTTTTTATATATAATAAAATGGAATGTAATGAATGATGAATTCGTTGATTATTTAGTAAAACCAACGAATTCATCAATATTTCCTTAGTAAGGTTATTTTTGATGTTTCATAATTTTTATGACCATTTTTGAATACTAAGGAATTGAACTCCCCTTGGTAAGTTATGTGTATTACATACGTAGAGTTAAAATTATTATTATTTGCTTTTGTCAAGAATCGACTAGCTCGGCCCTCAAAAAGTGTTAGTAATAATTAATATTTCTTACGAAGCCCATAAAAAAGGCGTGTAAAAATCTGTCAAATAACGCACGGAAGTAATCTTTACGTGTTCCGAGTCATATAGAACCGATATTTATGAGGGTTCCGCAGGTCACGTCATAATGGAAGGGTTCCCCGGAGCATAAGTTTCATGCGTTAGGAACACAAAGTAGGACACTTAAGATCTACCGTAATGATATCAAGTAAATTGCTTTTGAGATATTTTTCACTTCACAACCTCTGCCCTCTTTACCTTTCTTCTTTACAGAAAAATAAAATAAAAACCGTTTAAAATACTAAAATTATTTTTCATTTACTTTGACTACGGCCCGATGTTTCGAATGCTTTGCAGTAGCCGCAGTCATAGAGGGATTGAAAATGAAGGATTTCCCTTATATTAAAGTCCAATCTACAACACAGCGCCTGTTTCATCGTAGTTGTATTTGCTAGCTAGTTCTACAAAATATTTTTCGTTTAAAGTTGTTTTTAGTGAAATGTTTTGTTCCCACACACACAATTCCCTCGTGTGTAAATTTCGCGTTTAAAACCGTTAATACTGTTCTATTTAAACGTGTACGATTCGCGTCGACTACAGACAATAGCTTAGCTTACAACATATTAAAATATTATATTTAGCTGAATATCATGTTTGAAATTTTCAGAGGTTTAAAACTTTCTTTCTTAAAAACCTTTTGACATTAGGACACCGCTAAATTTATAGTAATCGGTCTTCCCCATTGGACTATAAATGTTTTAAAATTTTAAACACAAGAATATTATTATCTTCATACAGACAGAACATTTTGTAATTTACGTTTGGATGCGAATTTATCTGTTTGGCATCACTCCAAAATAAGGCCAAGATTAAGTGAGCCAAAGAAAATAGACGTTTTAGAAAAAAATATTTTTCATGTAGCTTCATAAATCTTTTGCCACGAAGTGTAACAAAGTGTAATGAAAAAGTTGTGTTCGTTTATAAATAAAGTTAGGCTAGCGCTCATAAGTACGTATTGTCTGTAATTTACGCGAGTACAACACACTTTCAATAAAACACTTAAAACTAAATTTTGAAATAAGTTCACTAAAACATATCGCGTTTTAATTCATTTAAAGTGTCATTTTTCATATTTTTGCTCTTACAAATATAACTTTTAGTTACGACACTGATAACATTTTTAAAGTAATCATCACTTTACTTGCAAAGATTTGTACATGATCGTCGCAACGAGTTTTATTCTGTAATCTAAATACAAATAAAAAATATAAACTAAGATAAATGAATTCTTTAAATTATAAATCGATTACAAATTGATGAATATCACGACACGGGCAGGGCTCGAACCGGCATCCACAGCGTTCTGTGCTGTTGTTCCAACCAACTGAGGTACCGAGTCGAAATTTGAATTATTTAATTTAGTAAGCATTCATGTCAGCGCCATAACGTGTGACGTGCATTATTGACTTCTTAAGTAATGATGATGATCATCTTTATATTTCTATTCTGTCAACAGTTTTACTGTAAAACAACACAAAAAATAGTTATGTTATCTGCTTCTGTCTTCTGTTTTTATTTTATATTATTGTTCTTTATATTTACTAAGACAGGCTGACGGAAAATAAAAACTTCACACTTATAATTGTTGCTTTTGAAAATAATCTATATTCGACGATTTACCTTCAAGAAATAAACGTATACACCTGTTAAATTATGCATTACTCTTTCGTAAAACGTCCTAGTGATAGTGGCGACATTTGTTTTTAAACGACAACTTATAGTTTAAACGATCATCTTATATGACACTTTGCAGATGTTTACCCTGTCAATCATCCTATACAAAATGGAGCACCTCGAATATTTCGATGTCTCTAGACAAGCGGAGAGATAAATCTTGAGATTGTGTGATAACTTTATAGCTTTCTTTTATAGCGCGATATATCAAGTGCACAGATAAAATTGCATTTCTCCCAAATATATTACAGCGCGCGAACCATATGCAAATAACGGCCAATTTTGCTTAATATGGCAATAGGTACATGTCAAAAATGCTATTTACTTTGCATAGAATTTCTTCAAAGTCTTTGACTAAAAATTGTGTCGTGAAAAATGCGTTCTATATGCGTTTAGTTGGTTCATAGTCACGAGGCATTAAAGTGATAAATATGCAAATACAATTATAACGATTTAATTTAAAATACAAGAAACATATTTAATTAGACTTTTAGTTTATAAGTCATTAAATAAAGACATGGTATAGTCTATGTTATGTATAAAAATACATCTAATGTACCACAATTTTAAACAGTTTAAAAGAAAAAAGTGGCAAAGTCTAGAGCTTCTAACCAAAATAAATATTCTAAGTTTTTCATGTGTGTTCATAAAGATGTTTATACCATCAACTAACCACTAAAAACCTTCAACGAATAGGTCTCGTTTGTAGTTTACACATTTCAATAAAACACGCTTAACAGTTAAAAGAGCGAATACACACATATATTCAGTTGGCGAGCACTTCTTAGTTGTTTAACTAAAACAACATTTCATGGTTTTAAATGCGCAATATTTTGTAGAAACTTGCCAGCAAATATTAACTACGACGAAATAGATGGCGCTAGCGTAGCAGATTTAACTTTGACATTAGGAACACCCTCCATCCGCTATAACTTCCCTATACAAGTACTGCAAAACAAGTAGTTAAATTAAATTGTAAATAAGTAATACAGCTCTTATTTTAAACCATTAGAAGTGTTTCCAACCATTTCAACACCGGCAAACACCTTTTCATAGAATATCCGATACATAGAGACTGTCAATAACCCCGTATCGGCATACGAAAGCGGATTAGACTTTTGCATCTTGTTAATTTTTCGCTCCACACCAAAGCTCTATACTCGACAACAAGTTAATAACGTAAATTAGACTTTCAGCGCCTCTAATATAACCCTTATTTTCTTACGAATAAGGCTGAACATTGTTTTCATGTTAAATCAATCTGATTGCATTGCTTCAATTTGGCGACATCAATTTGTAAAATAAATTGGTTTCTGTTTTTCAAATTTTTCGGTTACTTTTTAGGCGGTTGCTGTGATCAACTGTAATTTGTTTCTTTAGGCGACCTTTTACGATATTGTTAATTTGATCGTATAAAAAATATCACTATTGGTTAACACTAACATGAAAATTTCGTTAAACTGTAGTATTGTCTGTAATTTAGGCGAGTAGTTTACATGTAAATAAAATACTTTTAACATTAAGGGCACCTAGTGACCACGGTTGCAGCCGAAATAAATTAAGAATAAGTTATTTAATACATTTCGCGGTCTGAATCACTCAATGTAATAAAATGGCAAATGCTTTACTAAATACATCTGAGAAAGGTTAGAGACTTAGCATAGCTTTAGTAATTATTTAAATATATAGATTAATTTACGTCAAATTTTAAACAATTGCTTCTGCATTTTAAAAGTTAAAGATGCTCATTCACAAATGTTCTTTTGCAAATCTTCTTTTGAACTGTAATTCTATGTGTAAGGCTTTCACGGCCATCGTTCAGTTCATAATTTTGGAGCAATCGGGTAGTCGACATCTCCTGATGATGCCGTCCACGCGTGATGGCGAAACGTCGAGAACCTATTCTCGCTCACATCGGACGAACAACCCGAAAGACAATGATATGCTGTAATTCCATGATTTAAAAAAGATACTTAAGATTCTACTCGAACAGCGCCATCTTCGTGAAACCGTTGCAAATATTATTGTTCATGTTGTAGCGGACAGCATCAACTTCATATAATCGATGTAAACTATTATTAATAAATCGACGGGGGTTTCAAGAAAGAAATCACTCACTCTGCGAACCTTGTACGTTACAGTATTGTATTAACATATTTTATAATAAACGCATTCAAACTTTAACACATCTTTAAAAAGTCCTAAAATTATGTTTTTTAAATGCCCGGAAACATCGTATTAGTTTATTTAATGACGTCACTGCTTCTTGACATCGAGTAGAATTGTTGAGTTAGCAATAACAATTTTAACACGAGCTATAAGTTTTATAAGTGCTGCAAAGAACCTCTATGACTAAGGAAAACATCTGAAAAGACATTTAATTGTGTTCCTTGTTCGGTTACATTCTGTCTAAGTGTCAATAAACTAGATAAAATTAAGGAAAATGATTGTGATATTCTGTATTTCTACTTATACCTATTTACATTCAAATTATAAGACAGCTAACATTTCTATTGTCTTGTTTTAGAAGTAAGTTATATAAATTTCTGTAAAATCAAACTCACCTATAACAGTTAAATTAACCCTAGAATTTCTGGTCTGGGCCTGCTTAAAGTCCACCCTACATCTGTAGATCCCCTGATCGGTGGACCTCACTCGATCGACTCCGAGCTCTGCTGGTCTCCTCTCGGGCAGGAAGTATGCCCTCGACGCAAACACACTTTCGTCTGACCATCGCTCCGCTATACCAAAATCCTTTTCTCTGGCGTCCACGCTGCAAAAGCAACAGTAAAGCCAAGTAAAGCCCAGTTCTTGGCAAAGATGAACATTGAAGTTTAGTTATGTCCTTTCTAAGCAGATAGAATTATAAACCAATTCCAATGATTTGATTTTAAAAGCGTTATATATAAACGAAACATATATATATTTAGGTAGAAAAAGTTTTATGATATGGGCGTGAATCGGTATCCTGACTGTACTTCTCTAACCAATTGAGCTACTGTATTCTATACGAATTTTTAATTTATATAATTCCATCATATGCAATAAAATGTGAAAAATCTTAAAGTTTAATAGAAGCGTATGTATAATTTATGTCTATTATTTGTATAACGCGTTCGCGGCCATTTGAAAAGCGATTGCTTTGAGATATTTGTCGTAATTGGAAGAGGCTTCAAAAATTCGTTTCCTTTTCGTCTTTTCATTATCCTTATGAATCCTTTACCTGTATATTGGCGTACCGAGATCTTCTCTGTACCAGAGCACCAGCAGCACGGCATCGTCTTCGTCTTGAGTGGCGATATCGCAGGGAAGGTAGACCGGCTCACCAGCTATCGCGACTACTTGTGTCATCGGTACTGTGGGCAAAGAGACAATCACGTTTTAGTAGGATTTTTTAACCTTTCTCAAAGTAAACTATAGAACTTGGTAATTTGAATATAAATTTGAAAAATATATAAATGGTGACTGAAAACTGATTTAAGAGACTGAAAATACGTCAACTATTCTTATACTATACAAAATATCTGTTACTTTGTAATGATTTTGAGCAATATTAATTAGTAAAATCAAACTGCTTTTACTTTGAAGATTTTTTTCATAAGAATTGTTCATTTATTTATAAGTAATATGTTTAAATAAAACACTTTAACGGTTTAAAATGCGATATATTAGTTAAACTTATTTGAAAATGATTTTTAACTTCGGCCCGACGTTTCGGATGCTTTGCAGCAGCCGTGGTCACGGGGACGCTATATCGCGTTTATAGCCGTTAAAGTGTTTTATTTAAATGTGTACTACTCGCCTAAACTATAGACAGTATTTAAGTAATATGTTGTTATACGGAAAAAGTAGCTTATATCTAACTTGAGAAATTGATATAATCGAACACTTCCAGGTCTTAAAATAATAAACTGTCAAATGAAGTACCATAATAATGTATTTTATTGTTTACAGTAAATTTTGTCTATAATACAATCACCAACTTAATAAGACAATCGGCGCCCGTAAGTGATATTAGAATTTCTACAATAAATATGAATGCCAGTTGAAGCTTATAATATTCTTATCGCTTTTCTCGGAAAATTCAGAGTATTTGCCTTCCCGAGCTGCTATGAAAATATTTGCTGAAGGAAAAGCAAACACCCGGATGGGAAAGCCCGGATATACCTGATGCTGTCCGGTCTCGGGGATCCGGCTTCGAGACAATGACCAGGAAGCGGACTGTATTCTATTACAATTACTATTTAAATTTCCAGAGACAGTTTTTACGGAACATGTTCGTTTAGTTTTTTACATTTTCGCTTTGAATTGATTGTAAGCAGCGGAGAGCTTTATGATATATTTCTTTTTTTGTCACCTATTTCGAGTACTTTAAAGATGAAATGTTAATAATGATTGTAATTATGACAACGTAATGGACTGCATATTATACTACATACACACACACATACTGCTACATATTATCTTGAGTTGATTAGTTAACTTAAAAGTTAAATAACTCATAGATGAAACTTTCTGAATCATCGTTATGATTCAGAAAGTTTCCGCTGGGCAAAAGAGATTCCACAAAATAGTGCACAAGGCACTGATCAGATGAACCCTAGGCTAAGGCTGTTAACGTGTGTAGTCTGGACGCGACAATTATAGGTTTAGTATATATACAAATTAAGTTAAAAATAAATCAATAAATATACTATTATATTGTCATGAAAATAATGATAAACTATGCTATGTATAGTTTAAATAAAACACTTTTAACGGTTTAAACGCGAATAATATTAGCCAACTTATTTTTAATTTAGTAAAGTACGGCCCGACGTTTTGGATGCTTAACGTTTATAAGGCATTTATTATTTTTATTATTATTATTGTCTTTCATTTCAAAAAGGTACAAGCATTTGTTTTACAAATGCGTATACGAGGTAAAAGACACTTAAAAAAACAGTGGTCAAACGTAGAACGAGCTCTGCAGTTTAGATAACATCCGACTGTTATTGCATAAACCGACCTGACCCACGGAACCCCGAACTAGCAAAATAAACTGGAATTTCCTCGAATACAGACATCTCACTCGACATTCGGAAATTAATAGCATTTCCTGGCTTCCCTGTATCTAAAGCGAAGTGAACGCTCACGACGAACGATATTATTTAGCTATAACGACGAATCTTTACTAAATATCAAAATAGCACTCAATCCTACAGTTTTTACAGCATCTGAGACTTAAGATAGTAAGAACAACGCTACGATATTTGTAGACCTACGATCTACCTAGTTTGTAGCCTACCAGTTACAAAGAACCAGGGGTTCGATTCCTACCAGGTTCAACACATGTCCAATCAATCTATAGTAATTCTGAATCATATTGGACCTCGTTTGGATATCAGGTTATTATATAGGAAGTAGGAATATTGAAATTCCGTCCGGATCACGAGCCCCCGTCCGCAAATGAAGTCGTGTCGTGAAGTTTTATCGACTAACTCGAGTCGGAGAATTTTTTTTAGATGTTGTTTGACTTGAGTATTTCAGCATCCATCGAGTGAATCTCACGATTGGCTGCCCTCGTCCTAATTAAAAAAGAAAATTTTTTTTCAGATTTTTACGAACGGCACATTACAGCTCGAATTCAGCACAACACTTCAATATACTTTTTTGGAAAAAGCAGTCCTAAATATGTGGACATCTCTGCTACATCACGCCTATTATAATGACATTATTCTGGACAAAATGGCACAAAATATACACACATACTTAGCGCAAGTACACATTAGTGAGCATGTATCGTTTTCTACGGCGTGTTGATAAAGCGTGTGGAAATTATTGCAAAGGATAATTTAGTGAAGCGTAAACTATGTTTAGGAAATGCTTATTTCTATTCCAAATTTTAGTCGTATTATGTTTTTAAATAAAACACTTTAAAAGGTTTAAACCGCGAAAAATGTATATCATATGAGTTAACAAGCTTCCGTTGCGTATGCTGCAAAAACGAATCAAGTAACCAGAAATATGTGTGCGAGAGTACATGTCTATCTTTTAAAATGAGATATTGAGAAATCTTGAGATTAGCGCGTCAAAACAAACAAACAAACTCTGTGACTAGCGTACAATATAGATTATATAGATAGAGTTATAAGCGAAATACCGTTTCGGTTCGGGCGTATCCGTTCGGTTTGGGCATGGGGCGAACATATTTTTGTGTTCGTTTCACTGATCCGTTCTTTAACAGGCATGTAGTTGATCAGACTTCTGTGCGCTGCTCGACCGAAACAATTTTTGGTTTCCCTGGGATTTAAACCCAGGACCTCTCGCGCTTAACGCAATGCTAGGCAATGCGTTTAAACCATCTGGCTACAGAGGTGGTCAGATAGAGTTATGCCAATGTAATATTATATTAGATTAATATTATTATGTTAGTATAAGCAAGTATTGTAATATTTAAACTCGTTCTACGGTTGCGAACGGTAAAAGACAGTATTAAACCAGTTAGTTGCATAGTTGTGTTAATATTTTTCTAACAAACTAAAGGGGTCGCATTACGGGAGACATAGCCCGAAATAAGCTGGAAGAAGTATGTCGCAGCAGTGTATCAAGTGAAATCTTCGGGGAAATCTCTTCGCGTCTCATACAACTTATGATTTACGCTCTTCAGATGTGTTATGCCGTATTGTATGTTGCCGTGTGAAAGGGGATTCTCTAACTGAGTTTGGAATACGGTAATATATGGCCAATGTCATTTGGCAATGGAACGTGCAAACTTTGTCATCTAATATAAGAAAATTTCGTATCAAATTATGGCAATACTGGTTCGAAACGGGTTTAGAATGTATATAAAGGAAAGACAAACATGGAATTAACATGATGAAAAGTGAAAATACGTCGGTCATTTTCAACTTCTCAACACATGGTCGATCTATTAATAGCTTTTAATATTTGGAAATTAAACAAGATCACAGCTTTTCCACCTGTGAACGTTCGGTGATTTGGACGGAATTTAGATATTCCTACCACCCATTTAATGTCCGGATTTTCAGGAGGAGACCCAGACGTTTCAGTAAATTAATTAGTACATGGGGATCGAACCCAAGATTCGCTGAATCATACATTTCTTCTGTTAGACCAACTATAAAAATTGTAATTGTTCTGATTATATTTTATTTTTTTTTAGGATTCCTTGGTATAGCTCAATAACAGTTTCAAACATCAAAGTGATAAGGATTTTATAACCCTTATTCATCTTGCTGTTCTGAAGAGAAGAGAGCAGGCGAAATTATACACTTTTTAAATTATTTAAAACATAGATTCAATAAAAGTAAGAAGTGTTTAAGAAATGCGCGATCATATTATTTTTACAATAAAAAACAGCAATAATGCAACTGGAAGATGGTTCGATTTTATGATTTATATTTCCTTTCTTTTCTCTTATTATAAAAGTACATTTTGAATATGTTTTGTGGAAACCTAAAAAAAATTAACTCTGTTATCTTTGTCGTGGCCACTAGTTATATATATTGATTACTAGTAAATTATCTTGGCACACATTATCTACATATGTAATAAACTTTTATTGATGGATGCACGTATTGATAACACTGGTTTTTCAGGGGTTTTCCCAAAAAACTTTTTGCGTCAATTGCTTATCCTAAATAAGCTTAATAGAGGATAACAAGAGATTTAACCCAGATAAGCCTGAAACTAAAATTTTCTGAAATTTTTGAAAAAAGTTACATTATTTAGTTTATTAGATCTTATGCAACATAAAAAAAATTATGAAAAAAAAATTAAGTGTAAGGCTTTCAGGGAAACAGCCGTCCTATATGTAGGACAGTAGGATAATAAGAGGAAATAAAAGACCATTTATGACAAAACAGAATGTAATCAAAAAGTGTAGTTTATTAGATAACTATTGATTATATTACCCATTGTTATATGTAATTTACTAGATTAACACTATTTATGAATGATATGTTTCAAAACACTTGACACACACTCCAACATCACATTTCTTGCAACGTGTCAAACATTTTTTGTGACATTGACGAAAGTGTGTTTGCTTCGATTGACGAATAACCAGATGATTCATTTGGTCTTTACAACTATCAGCATGTTCATGATGGGAGGGTCGGCTAGGCCCTCTTTTGGCATTTTTTCCCACCCCCAGCCCAAATTCTTTATATATTGGATTGCACATAGTTGTAGCACCTTGGTATGGTTCCATCCATAAAACATACCCTAACCGTGTAGCACCAACCCAAGCTTTGAACCCGTACCTAATAGGTTTACCTTTTATGTGCTGTTTGCAGCCATGTCTACCAAAGTAGGGGATCATGGCCTCATCTACACCGTAATGCTCTTCAAGAGGAGAAAACTCTAAGAACATTTTATTTAGAAGTGTAACTAGGGGGCGTACTTTTGTGTATTTGTGTTGCAAATCCAAATTATCATTGACATGAAGGTGGCGAAAAATAAAGTCAAATCTATCCCTAGACATAGCCGAGCTGATCAATTCATTCTTTGTATCAGGGGAGGTTTCTTAATTCATCTTCATACGGGGGAGCCATGACTAACCAACAATATGCCGATGAAACATTTCATATCTTCAGTGGTTATGTCTCCAGGCAAATTCAAACCACTCAATTGGGCGCTTATCTTGGCAAGCGCCTTGAACATCTGGCCAATTCACAGGATTTTTTGGCCGGTTGAAGCAGAATGTTTCATGGCAAATTATTCAAAGTTACATTATCTTCTTCATTCAAATCTTCGTCAGTGAGACAGTCAGGATCAACAGGAGGAGGTAGAATACATATCAGTCGTTCTCTATAGTCTTCTTCATTATCACAAACATTTTCTAAACCATCTAAAATTTCATGCGGTCTGTAAAGAAAAAGTTGTATTATTGTACTAAAATCATGTATATTATCCTACTGTCCTATATATAGTACGCTAGTATTTGTAACAAGTTATACGTAATTTATTTATATTATTTTGCTAGAATATTTATTTAGTACAAAAGTTAAGCTTATCAACTACATATTAACACAGAAAAAAACAACTCACGAGTAAAATATAACTTTTTATACATACCTGTCATTTGTAATGTCTGCAACGCACTTTTATTACACACTTATAAGGTAAAATATAAGGTAAAAACGGTTAAAAAAACTGTTTTTTTATTTTTTCTAATAAAGCTGACACGTTTCTTATTACAAATCATAAGACTAAATAATCTTAGATAAAGAGGGTATTCTGATATTTTTTTTTATTTCTACTGTCCTAAATATAGGACAGTAGGCTTATCTGGGTTAAGTACGTGTCTTAATTTAAAAACAAAATAAGTGTCTATTTTAGAGATTTTGTTCTTTCCGAAAAGAGAGTTATGCATTTGTTAAGTGCTCCGATTTCATTCAACTTTTGTCAAAATGTATTATATACATTGATAAAGAAAAATCTGCCTTAAAAAAACTAATATTTCCTCCATATAAAGAAGTTGGTTTTTAAAATCCTGGTCACACTAGGTTTTCATTGATACACTTTTGTGTCTATTGTACAAATCGATTCTACCGGAAAGTAATTGAATAGTGCTCTGCTCGACCGAAACTATTACTATTCAGGTCGATGATGTCAAAGTACATTTGCGTAATAAATAATCAAATATCACGTAAGTATACGGATATCTATGAACAATGTGGATTTGTAAAGAAATCTATCGATTAATTGCTATCTGCCTAAGACATATTTTTGAACATTAATTAACTGTAAGCCCAGATATGGAGATTAAATATTGATATCTAAGGATTTAGTGACGATGTATTTCTGGTAATTATTACCTGTGTCGTTTCGTTTTAATTGATGGCTACACGTCACATTAAAATTGTATGTAAGTTGCTTTATTGTATATTTAGAAACTTTAAAAATTTTCACATCCAAAATTTACGAATTTCAAATAGATTTTCAATTTAGATCAGTTAATATGTCTGTATGGAAGTTGCAGCTATTTTGCAAACCAATTTAGGGTTTCGGGCTGTTCTGCCAACGCGATTTGCATCATCATCTGATGATGAGATTTTTCAAATAAGCGAAGTGTGATGATGCTTATCACTATCAGGTCACATTCCACGTTGAAAACTACTTCTCAATTACGACAACTGAATAGCTAGGAAAACACGTAGCTTTTACCGATAATATTGTCTGCAGTTTACACGAAGTACATATAATAAAACAGTTTTAAATGCTAAACATATTAGTTGACTTATGAACAATTATTTTAGTTTCGTTTAATATTTAATTCGTTTTATTTAAATGTGTACTACTCGCGTAAACTATAGACAGTATTTAACGTTAAACGTGATTATATTTTTAAGATAAAAGTAGAGTATAATGTACTCTCATATTTTTTTTCTATATACAGAACTGGGGACATATTTAGTCTGATTTAACTAAGTCGTTTTGTGGTTGTAAAGTTCACATTCGCATACTCTTTTAGTAAGGCAAATATATCAATTATAACATCGTTATTTTATAAAAATAATTTAACAATACCAAGATATTTGTTACGCATAATATCGTGTCAATTGTTAAAGCTGTTTTTGTCGTGTCATCTATGTTCTTAAGCGATAATACAATAATTAAAAAATCCACGATTAAGATTATATTTGGTATAAATGTTGTTTAAATTTGTACTTATTTTTTAGTTTTGCCTTAAAATGAAGTCCCTTATACTGATAAGCCTATTGGTCGTAGCTGCATCGGAGCCAATTAAAATAACAACCCTATATAAATATCATGAGACAATTGGCATCCCTGCTGCAGCCAGGATCAAGCAAGCTGAAGAAGCTCTAGATTTTGACGGCTCCAGGATAATAGGTGGAAACCCTTCAAACTTGGGGAATAATCCGCATTTGGTATGTTCATTTGTTATAGGGAAATTTAATAATAAACCTTTTTGTTTCGTTTCGTTTTAAACGGTTAAAAGTATTACATTTTAATGTAACACTCGCGTTAACTACAGATAATAGTTGTAAAAGATTAACTAATTAATTCATTGTAATTGATTTTAATGAAATTAAGCTTTATTTATGACGATGCAAAAGTTATTATTATCATTTTATAATGAGGGAACCGAGAGAAGGCCGGATGATCAGTCCACATTATCAGCTGACTATTTCACCCAATTCCCCATTTTCTTCTTGCAAAGGACTGAATATTGCTAAAGTTACTTATATAGTAATAATCGGTAAAAATAAAGGCACATCGTTCTAGGGCGGTCTTGTGATCCTTTTAACGGATGGCAGAACCTCAGCATGTGGGTCTTCCCTCTTGTCAAATACGAAAGCGGTGACGGCAGCTCACTGCTGGACGGACGGAAACGTCCAAGCCCGCCAGTTCACCGTAGTCTTGGGCACAGTGCGCCTCTTCTCTGGTGGAGTACGTGTCACCACTACCAATGTCGTGATGCATCCCCAGTGGAATCCAAGTACAACATTTGGTGATGTCGCCATGATCACTATGAGCCATGTCAATTATAATAGTACGTATAGATAGTAAACCATATCTATCATACCTGGTTAAATTGTTGTTTGTATTATTATAACAAGATTTGTCTAATTGCCACAGAGTGAATATTTGGTACATTATTAGTTTAATTTATGCCGACTGAAGATTTCGTTATATTTTTGTACGTAAGAGAGACAACACTGTATAAAGTTGTTTTGGTATAAAGTATAAAATTATTTATTTAATGCTATCATTAATTTATTAATTACAATATTCTAGACTACATCCAACCTATAGCTTTGGCTTCTGGAAGCAACAACTACGTTGGATCCTGGGCGGTTGCTGCTGGGTATGGCACAACTTCAGATCGTGAGTATAGGCGTACTTCTGGAATTATTATTTTTTAAACCTCCTCATTTCAGAAGAAAATATAAGATTAAGACAATAGATATTTTTTTGGCAGCAAGCAGGTACCGTTAATGTCAAATTGTAAACTAAGATAAAATATTCTTCTATGTTGTAAAAACATTTCCAAAACCTTTTAAATTGTTTGTAATATGTGATAAATAGATATTATTAAATTAAAATTTAATAACAAATGTTCCACAATATTCAATTTTTTAGGTGAAACGACTGTGCCCCAAGACACTATCCAGAGGGAAGTAAACCTGAGGGTGATCTCGAATTCTGAATGTCAGAGAACTTTCTGGATGGTGTCCAACTCTCACCTTTGTGTCGCGACTCAAAGTGGCAGTACTTGTCGTGGGGATTCTGGTGGTCCTCTTGCTTTTGGGACAGGAAATGGACGGGTTCTGGTAAGATCTCAAATGACGGAACATAGTAAAGTTATTTTCTTTATATATTCCTTATAATGAAGTCCAAAACTTAGGCAATATTTTAATGAGCAGGAAGTAAGAATAAAGATTATAATATAAATATACAAATTTAGAGTTGTAAAAAAGTTATATTGAATTCATATTTAATAAACCATATTTCTTTTAGATCGGAATCACTTCATTTGGCCATATTCTGGGATGTCAGCGAGGTTTTCCAGTAGTATTCAGCAGGGTTACTACCTTCAACTCCTGGATTCGTGGCCGTTTGTAATGGTAGATAGATTAAAGAGAAGAGCTTTTAAAATATTATATGTTTCTGTAAAACCATTGCATTGTCTAGTAGCCATTCAGACTGATAAATCATTGGATTTTTGCCAAACAGACTGTTGGTGGAAGTAAATGCTAGGCCTTATTATCCTGATGTTTGAGTTTAATTGCAAAACCCAATCACTAACATGGAAAAGCAGCATTCATTAAATTACTAAAATTTTCTATAGAAATAATAGCTTACTAAAATTTGTGTTTTTTAACATAAGTGTAGGTAAATAAGTGATGCGATGTTATAATTATTAATAAAGTCCTTTGCTTATTCAAATTGTGTTTAAGTTACATCGTCCTTAGCATATTATTAGTTATTTCTTTAACTAAAATATGCTCAGCTACACAATTAGATATGTTATGCTATATAAAAAGTATGGGTCTTTTGGTTATTCAAGAAAGATAAATAAATCTCGATGAACCGAGCAAGACTTGAGGAATTAAAAAAAATCCTTCTAAACAGACTTTTAATTTATTGTCACCTAGTGCTAGTGAGCTTATTTGACGATTGAGTTCTCGATAATTTTATTTAAATTAGGAGATTTAGTTTCCACAGCGATCGTCTATAATATAAATGGAAAATACTGTGTAGAAGTACAAAGTATTAATTTCCTTATTTTGTTCAATTAATATATCTTGTAAAAGAGACTATTAAGATATCAAATTGATTAGTGCAATGACACCAATGCTCATTAACAGGTCGTGGTTTCGATATCCACCTGATGTAATATATATTTAATCTACTTTATATATCTTAATTTAAATAAAAGTATTATTTCTGAAATATGTAAGACTTCATCTTCGTAGTTCTATCGAAATGTTTGCCTAACATTGCGTTAAGCGCGAGAGGTCCTGGGTTCTTTCAGGCGGGCAAGGCAGAGAAGTCTGACCAACTCTTTGCCTATAAAAGAATCGATGTGTGAAACGAATACAGAAAAATTGATCACGGGATATCACAGATCGTTTTACAGTAAATCTGAATATCGATGGGTAGTACGAAATTCGATTTTCCGATCAGACAAGATCTACAGTCCACAGATGTGTAAACGCATTTCGCTTTCAGTTTGTGGATTTCTAAATATTTATAGTTGAAAGCGTGTATGTAAACTATATTTTAGTACCTATTTATCAAATAAACTCCAAGAACTAGCTCCGTGATTGTAATAAAGCATTGTACTAAAAAAAAATCCGCCAAATTTCTATGGCCTTTCACTTTTACACGAGAGATGAGTAAGTAAATAGAAAAAACTACACTTGTTCTTCATAAGTAATGTTAAGCTTTTGAGTTACATGTAACTTATAAATTTAGAAAATTTATGTCGAAAAAATTAAAAATAACAGCAATTTCGCTTATTTGAAGAGCCAACAGTAAAAAAAAATAATGCCAGACGTTGTTCTTTATATTAGCTCATTAGGATATAATTATGATCACGAAACAATGATAAATAAGTGATAAACGTTGGTTTATCAATACAACAACATAAAAAATGTGCATCTGTTTATTGAAAATGAATTTTAATTTCATACAATGCTATTATGTTATTTTTAAATACATTTATCTATTGTATTTTTTGACAATAATTTTTTAAGTGCGAAAGTTCCAAAGTTCAATTACTTATTTATTTGCTAATAATAATGACTAAAAAAATTTGTGTACAACTAAGATACGAGTGTATATGCGGGTTGCTATTGATTTTATTACCTACCCTATATATTTTTTAGATACTTCTTAGTAAAGCAACTTTAGTGGGAATCGAATGGACGACCAGTAATTATAAGACTTAACTATGTTTACATTTGAAACCTTTAATAGACTCGGTAGCTCATTTCGTTAGCACGGAAGACTGTGGATGCCGGGTCAAGTCCTGTCCGAGTCATATTTTTAATTTCTATGTTATATATTATGATTTGTTTGATGGTCTATACACGATGCAACTACTTGGCCAACAATTGCCTCAAAAGGAATACTGTAATAGGAATAATCTAATTTACAAAATCTTTATTTAAATGGCTTTTGATTAACAATAATAATTTGAATATCCATCACATTACCACATAGCCTAATTGTGTTTGAAAGACACGGGAGACTCCCCGTGACCACGGCTGCTGCAAAGCATCCGAAACGTCGGGCCGAAGTTAAGAATCATTTTCAAATAAGTTTAACTAATATATCGCGTTTTAAACCGTTAAAGTGTTTTATTTAAATGTGTACTACTCGCGTAAACTATAGACAGTATTTAATAATATACATGTTTATTTTGCTTTCTACTAAGTAATAAAAATAATAGACAACGCACCGTTCAATTGCTTGTTAAACGACAAACGTAATTATTTCTTGTAACACAAATAATGTGAATTTGAATTAAGATTAAAATTATCTTATTGAACTGATAATGTTTAGTTTAAATTGCAGGCCGTCGTGGCTGAAGACACATTCGCTGAGGAAAATGAAATCCCTAGCAGTTTTCGTCGGTCTCTTGGCCTTTGCTCTCTCTGAGCCTATCTTCGAAACCAGTGCTACCAACTATCATGAGAGCATTGGTATTCACGAGGCTGTGAGGATCAGGCAGACTGAAGAAGCTCTCGATTTCGATGGCTCCAGAATCATCGGAGGTGGTGCTTCTAACTTAGGAAACAACCCTCACTTGGTAAGATTTATTATAAAAGTTTCAATTTTTTTACGAAATTGTTAACATTTATTGGAACATAAGGAGGTGGCAGTATTTAAGGATGAAAGTAAAGTTTTTAAGACGGTAAAAATGTACCAATCCTCCATTATTATAGTTTGAGTGAGTAAAGATGAATATTCTTATTAATTATTACATTATTGTTTTTCTGTAAAGGGTGGTCTCGTCATTGCTCTGACCAACGGCTGGACATCCGTGTGCGGATCTTCCCTCCTTAGTAACACCAAGGCTGTCACCGCCGCTCACTGCTGGTGGGATGGAAGTAATCAAGCTCGTCAATTCACCGTAGTCTTTGGATCCGTCCGCCTCTTCTCTGGTGGAGTCCGTGTTAACACCAACAATGTTGTTATGCACCCACAGTGGAACCCAAGAACCGTCAGCAACGATGTTGGAGTCATTACATTCAACCACGTTGGCTACAACAGTAAGATTACAATTGTTTTTTTATTTCCTTTATGATTTCAGTCATCACCACTTGTCAAATTATACATGAAAACAAATATTTTTGCGTACGACTTGGGATCAAACCGCTGACTTCACAAACGAAATTCAGGAGCACATGGTTTTCCAAAGCTTATATCGTAACTTTAATATTATTTCAGACAACATCCAGCCAATCGCCTTGGCCTCTGGCAACAATGCATTCGTCGGAACCTGGGCCATCGCTGCCGGTTACGGAGCTACCTCTGACTGTGAGTTGAAATTTTATATTTGAGACTTCGAGATATCTCTTCTGCAAAACATACAGGCAGCTAGAACAAAAAAAATCTCTCACAGTAACATATGAACAGAAAGATTACTTTCCCTAAACTTCATGCTTTCTTTTCAGCTCAATCCGGAATCCCTAATAACACCGTCCAAAGACAAGTCAACCTCAGAGTGATCTCTGTCGCCGAGTGCCGCAGAACCTTCAACTTCATCGCCGACTCTATCCTCTGTGTTGACACGCAGGGAGGCAGAGCCAGCACTTGCGGTGGTGACTCTGGTGGTCCTCTCGCTACTGGCTCTGGAAACTCCAGAAGCTTGGTAAGATTTGATTAAATTTGGCACATTATCAGCGATCATTTGAAATTAAATATCGTAATCCCTTCATAATTTTGCATGATCTTTGCAGATTGGTATCACTTCTTTCGGCCACAGAGACGGTTGCGAAAGAGGCCACCCAGCTGGTTTTGCAAGAGTAACCTCATACAACGCCTGGATCCGAGGACGCATGTAAATTCTACATGAAATATCTATTCAGCATAAATAATAATTAATATTTAATATGACTTTTACTTAATAAAACCCTCAGATAGAAATATCGTGTAATCTAAGAAAATTCAGAAAGAAACGAAGAGAACGAAGTTTTTTTAAATTACAGTATTCAATTTATATCAGCACTTTAAATTCAAAAAGCGAATAAAAACTATTAGCAATTAGTTAACTATATGTTGAGATCGGTCCATCAATTGAAGCCTTAGTTAAATAATTAGCAAATATTGAAGGCAGCATTATTCACCATAGAAAAAAGGCAATAAATAAATGTAGAGAATATTCTAATTGTAATTATAAAGCAATCTTTTATGATACTTTTTAGTGAATTTCAAACTTTACTAGAATAAGACTCCTAAATATTGACGTCTGGTCATAAAAATATCAACCTTTTATTATAATGTATTAAAAGATTGTATGATGTCACTGTCTAACAGATGTACAATGGTGGCTTTTGCTGAAAATTAGTGTTGTAGCATAATTGTGCTGTAAATTATTTTTGTATCAATTTTCTTAAAATTAAATTTAACATGTTTATTACAACCATTTTACTGTAATTACATTTTTTTCTAGTATGGATCTTCCATTCAAAATATATTATGAAATTAAATAAAAAAATGCGGGGGGGGGCGGCGGCCGCCACGCCGCGCATCGAGTGACTAACTGGTTGGTAAGACAGATGGGCAGTGGGCTCCTTATGCAGTGGGCGCGAGCGACATTGAAGATTTCGGTTTTTATTTTATTTTGCTTTACTTAAAAAGTTCTTTTCGGGACTGTCTCTATTATTATAAGCTTATTCTTAATTTCTTTGATTTAAAATAAATATCCTTCATAGCAATATGCCTAGAAGAAGAACGTTACAGCTATCTAAGAATAGTTCCCAAGCGAGATTCGCAAAATTCATCGTATTAGGGAGTCTCCTTCCTAAAATGATCGTCTGGAAACGTATTAGAGTGTACGCGTCCCAATCGCGAGCCAGAAAACCTAACGTCGAACGTTCAGTTCGTCTTGTAGAACCAAAACCAAGATGGTCGCAGCTATACGAATGGCAGTCTAGCGCCGAGCGCTCGCAGCGACTTGAAGGAACTAGAGCTAAGAATTCGCGAACGCGTGCACGGGACGTTAACGCTAAACGTTTGCAGCGGCCCCTGACACAGCGACATAGACAACGGTCGTTAACAGCTAGGACGCGCAATACATTTTTTTCTAATTTAGTGATTCATGTTCGTTCTACCAATGCTTATAATTTAAATATCTGTACCTATTTATGTCTACCAGCCGCTAGTTTCAAATAAAGAGATTTATTATTATTGTAAAGTTCAAAGAGTTATGCGTTCGTTTCGTGCAAGATCATTTTAACTATAAATAGTTTTTACGTTCTAAACTTAATTGTAAGAAGTTTTTGGCATCCAAGTTCACCACATTCACACTCAGTATATTTTTTGTACAAAAATTTTAACTGTTTATCATAAACTATACAAGGTTTGAGTTTAAATAAAAAAAGTATGCTCAGATAATTTGCATAGAAGTTTCATTAAGGCTTATAAAATCTAATAATTTAATGAACTTTTGCATACGTTTATTTTTATCGATCGCTGATAAGATGGGTTTTACTAAAAAGAAAAATATTTTTTTGAGTTGGAACATTAACGACTTTTTATTTTGTATTGATACGGACTTTTAAATGATTTAATTAATTTTAAGAGTTTCCCACTCTCGTTATCAAACTATCTGATCCTGTGATCGTGTCTCAGGATAGTTTTCACAAATAATGTCTATTGGCACTGTAACAATAATTACCAAGAACACAATAAAATTAAATATTTAGTCCGTAAAACAAAGTTATTGAATTCGAAACTAAATTCAATTAAACGTCACGTCTTTTCAATTTGTGGACGTTGGTTCCTGGACCCGAACGGAATTTCTACAATTATTCCACTTATTTAATATCCCCATTTACATGTATCAGAAAAATCATCAGTTTTTTATTAGTCGAAACATGTTGGACACGGTGGAGATCGAACTCACTGCCCGTTGTTTATTTCACAGTTACCATTACGTTGGTCTATGGTTTATGTATTTGTATTTTTTTCATATTACTAAACTTCTTTCAGTGCTGTATGTGGTAGTGAAGTGCTTGCATATACGGTTATTTGGAAATATTTTTTTGAGGAAATTCCGTTTTCTTGGCGGGCGATGTAAGGGAATTTAAATTTCCACCAAATTCTAAAGATTTGACATTATGTGTGACGTGGTGTAACGTCATGCATTATGTCAATATGGCGGGTTTTTATCGTGAATGGAGTGATGTAAAGAATTTCTTAATATGTAATTTACCATTTTTATTAATAAGAACAAAGATTGCTGAAATAACTTAATTTGTTGTTTCTTTCAGGTATTTTTTTTTATATTAAAATGGTAGTAGTTTGTGTAAGTTTAGATTGTTAAATAACAAGAACATTAAATCTTTCAGATTAAAGCAACAACACGTTTTATTTCGCATAAAAATCATAATCAAGATCTCCTTATATATGTTTAACAAATATGTTTTGCGTTTGAATCCGTTAAAGTGTTTTATTTAAATAGTCCATTAACATTCTATTGTCATAAACTAAAATATGTGTAACGTTTTTTTGTCTAGCTAATAGAGTAAGATATTTAAAAATAACTTTATCAATGAAAAGTTATTATAAATTAGCTTGGATTTTTATATTAAAATAAATTTAAACGACGCACAGTAATGTGTGAATAATCAAGTTTTGGTCATGTTTATTCAAATACAAATATGCACAGCTAGATTTCTACAGTCAAATATTTTGATAAATCAGAGACTACAGTTAATCCATCACATGACTCCGTATCTTAATGGTTCAAAGCTTTGCCTATCATTTAAACAATAGATCCTGGCTTCGAATCCCGGGGAAACTCTGAATTATTTCGGTTGAAAAGGGTATGATCAAATACTTGTACATGTATATAAAATCAGTCTTTAAAACAGATACAAAAATGTCTTTACTTCATGCCCCGCGAAATTTAAATAAGCCGTATTAGTATGGACATTACAAGCTACCTCCATATTTTTATAAACAAATGCAAAGAGTTTTAGTAAACTTACTTTATGTAAAATTTCGTCAAAATGGGTGAAACAATCGAATTTAAATCATTTATTCGTATTGGGAACTGGGCACACATAATTAAGATAGTTAACAATTGAAAAAATAACTCTAAATTTCAATTCACTATCAATTCTCAATCAAGGACATAGATCAAACGAAAAACTCGCCGCCACTCGTTTCATCGGCAAATTTCAGTTACAAATTCCTTACGCACTTAAAGTTTCCTAAGCCATCTTTTTAGTTGTTAGAGCATGTTCCTCTAAGCTCCAAGCATTAATATTATCAAAATATTGTTTTTTGTTAAATATATGGATACCTTATTTAATGACACTTCTTGTACTGGTAATTCAGTAAAACACCGTATGGTACCTTGAAAAGAGTTACTGGTTTTACGAGACCTTATAGTCCATACACTTATTTTATCCTTTTTACGTGTATTTATAGAATACATAAAAACTGCCATGTTTTAAAACTATCTACCTCTTAATTTCAACCAGTAAATGTTACAAAATAACAGTTATATGAGACAGTCTTGACAATTATTATTATTACGATTTGTAAAATCAAGTAAATAAAAAAAAACATCATCAACGTTGAGTAGTGGTACACATTGGTCACATACTTTAAGAGCAAATCACGGAACTTTTAAAATGTGGGTTCGAGTTTGAAAAGTTTTTAATTTTTTTTTTACTATAAGAAGTAAGATATTACTCTCTTTGACAAAAAAGCTTTTGTCTGATTCTATGATTTTTTACATTTTATGTTGTTTAAAATTACTCTAAACTAACTGAACACTAAACTAAACTCGTGCGTCGTAATTGTCTAATAGTAAAATAATAAAACGAAAATTTTACCCCCAGCTCAAAGTGATTGACCTCCTTCCTGTTGTATTATATGCTAATGACTAAAAATAATAATAAAAAGCGATACACATATCTAATCTTCATGTACACTCATTAATCACAATATTTCCAAAACCATCCATCACGATTAATTTATTGATAAATTTTTATTTCTCATAAATACATAAAGCTGAAGAGTTTGTTTGTTTTTTGTTTAAAAGCGCTAATCTCAGGAACTACTGGTTCGAATTGTAAAAATATTTTTGTCTTGGAGAGAGCGCTATGAGGAAGTTAATAAAGCTTTGTCGCAAGTTGATTGGATTACTATTCTTCTAGAGAAAACAATGGATGAGGTTACAGATAATTTCTAATTTACTCTAAATAAAGTAGTTATGACTACCGTTCCTAAGACGAGAGATAATAGTTGTAATAGGTTTCCTACCTGGTACTTACGCTCACTAATTCATAATATATAGAATAAATTAAAAGCTCACAAACGTTGGTTAACATACAAAAACTCAAGAGACTACGACGAATTTTCTTTTTTATGTGCTAAACAAAAACTTGTTTAGCACACGAGCAGAATATGCAAAAAAATATAATTAAAGATCCCAAAGCCTTGTGGTCATTTTTACGAAATAAGAGAAATTGTAATACCAGCTATCCTAGTACGCTTACCCTTGAAAATGAAGTCTTTCATTCTAAATGAGATGCTTGCGAAGGATTCAATAAATTTTTACAAATTAAATCTACAGCAACTACCTGAGTCAGATGAAACTTTCACTCAAATAACGCTATGTGATATTGAAGTCTCTGAGGAATTAAAAGCCTTCAATATCAACGATAATTTAACCTTAATCTTTCTTCAACGATGCTGTAATTAAATATGTAAACCGTTAACTTGCCTTTTCAATCTTTCGCTTAATCGATTTCAAAAACTTCCCTTTTAAAGGGAAGAAAGCACACATAGTTCCAATACACAAAAAAGGTTTATTTTTAAATATATAATTAAACTGTTCTTTAAAGTTAGTCCTCGTAATATTTTGTTTTTTCTTAATTTTGTTTTATTCATCATAATGTGCTGTTGAGTATATGCACAATATGTTATACATTTTGTGTATATATCATATGTCAAAAGATATCAATATTTGAAAATCTTTAATGTAAAGTATGTTTAACTCATGTATACTATGTAGCTGTAGGAATACGAAATAAACAATAAATAAATAAATTATAGGAGGCTCATTACTTCAATGATTTCATGGATTTTATTGCCACCTCATGCAACATTATATCTATTTGATACTATATATATTTATATATATATATATATATATATATCTTAATTTAAATAAAATAACTTAGGCTTCGTCTTCGTCATTGTATCCAAATGGTTAAAAGTGTTGCCCAGCCTTGCGTTAAGTGCGAGTGGTCCTGGCTTCGAATCCTATAGATTGTTTTAGTTAAGCAAGGCAGAGAAGTCTTATCAACTCTTTGCCCATAAAAGACCCGATCAGTGAAACGAACGTAGAAATTTCTTCAAAGTATTTCACACATCGTTTTACAGTAAATCTGGATATTGATGGGCAGTAGGTAAATCGACCAGGTAGGATCTACTTCTACAGTCCACAGATATGTAAACACATTTCGCTTTCAGTCTGTGGATTTCTGAATGTTCATAGGTTCACAGCGTGTATGTAAACTACATTTTAGTATTAGAATAATAACACAATTTTGACTTATTTAAAGAAGCCAATAATATGAACAAAAACCGGACGTCGGTCTTTATATAATTATGATCAACATATATCTTTATACTAAAAAATTAAATCTTTTGTGAACCAATTCAAGAAAATGTAGACTTAAAATCATTAAAATTGGAAGCACTAAAACAAATTAAAATTGTTGGACAAAGCACCGTTTGTATGCTTGTTAATCGAGAATTAAGATTAAAAATTATCTATTTGAACTGATAACAATTAGTTTAAATTGCAGGCCGTCGTGGCTGAAGACACATTCGCTGAGGAAAATGAAATCCCTAGCAGTTTTCGTCGGTCTCTTGGCCTTTGCTCTCGCTGAGCCCATCTTCGAAACCAGTGCTACCAACTACCACGAGAGCGTTGGTATTCACGAGGCAGTAAGGATCAGGCAGACTGAGGAAGCTCTCGACTTTGATGGCTCCAGAATCATCGGAGGTGGTGCTTCTAACTTAGGAAACAACCCACACTTGGTAAGATTTATTATGAAAGCTACAATATTTTTAGGAAATTACTTACGACAAATTTTATCTTAGAAATTGTGGACTTATGATATAAGGGGATCGCAGCGTATAAGGACGAAAGTAAATTTTGTAAAACAGTAGTAATGTACCGATCTCTATTTTTATTGTTTGAGTAACTAATCGTTAATATTATTATGTTTTGCTTTGAAGGGTGGTCTCGTCATTGCTTTGACCACCGGCTGGACTTCAGTGTGTGGATGTTCCCTTCTTAGTAACACCAAGGCTGTCACCGCCGCTCACTGCTGGTGGGATGGAAGGAATCAGGCTCGTCAATTCACCGTAGTCTTTGGATCCGTCGCTCTTTTCTCTGGTGGAGTCCGTGTTACGACCAACAATATGGTTATGCACCCACAGTGGAACCCAAGAACCGCCAGCAACGATGTTGGAGTAATTACATTCAACCACGTCGGCTACAACAGTTAGTTTATATTTTTCTCTTATTTCCTTCATTTTTGCCATCACTCGCCAGATTATACATGAAAACGTATATGTTTTCGTACGCCCTGAGATCAAGCCGCTGACTTTACGAGCGAAATTCAGGAGCACGTAGATCTTTAAAGCTTATATGCTAATATAACCCTTTACTTTAATCACTTTAGTATTATTTCAGACAACATCCAGCCAATCGCCTTGGCCTCTGGCAACGATGCATTCGTAGGAACTTGGGCCATCGCTGCAGGTTACGGAGCTACTTCTGACTGTGAGTTGAAATTTTATATTCGAGACTTCGAGGTATCTTATCTAAAAACCCAAAATTATGTGTAAGTTTATCTTGGAACAGAAAGATAAACTTTCTCAAAACTACATGCTTTCTATTCAGCTCAATCTGGAATCCCACGTAGCACTGTCCAAAGGCAAGTCAACCTTAGAGTGATCTCTGTCGCCGAGTGCCGCAGATCCTTTGGCTTCATTACCGATTCCATCCTCTGTGTTGACACTCAAGGAGGCAAAGTCAGCACTTGCGGTGGTGACTCTGGTGGTCCCCTCGCTACTGGCTCTGGAAACTCCAGAAGCTTGGTAAGTTTTGATTAAATTTGGCAGATTGATTGGGATTATTTATCATTTAAAACTCATTCCCTGCCTAATTGTATATGATTTTTGCAGATCGGTATCACATCTTTCGGCCACAGAGATGGTTGCGAAAGCGGCCACCCAGCTGCTTTTGCAAGAGTGTCTTCACACACCGCCTGGATCCAAGGACGCATGTAAATTCTACATGGAATATCTATTCAGCATAAATTATATTAAATGTTATCTATATACTTAAAATAACTTTCACTCAATAAAACATATTAACCTCATATATTTTAATGTAAATAAATTTAAGGGTACTGAAAACATTTCAAATAAAAACAAATATAAAGGACATGCTTGAAAACGTTAATATGTTTTACATGTACATGTAGGCACTATATAATTTAAAAATCGAAAGTAAACTGAAAATATTTTCGACTTGGGTAGAACTTGAGCCGGCTTCGTCAGCGTTCCGTGATGTTGCTCTATCAATTGAGCTAACGAGTCCTACACCTCATAGTCGATTTTTTTCAACTTATTATATTTAAACATGTCATTAATATATTTACATCATTATTTTAAATTGAAATTGAAATTTTCTATTGCGGCTTTGGTTAAATAATTAGCAAACATTGGACATTTGAAACAGATTCGCATTAGAAAGGACGACAACAAATAAATTTTGAGTTAAATATTGTAATCGTAATTGTACTTGTATTAGGTTATCAAACTTCAGTAAAATATGACTCCTAAATACTATAATTAATAAATAAATTGTATTGTGCGTCCTAGCTTCTTGTTAGCAATCGTTGGTTAGCTCGCTGTGTCAGGAGCCGCTGCAAGCGTTCAGTGTTAGAGTCCCGTGCACGCATTCGCGAATTTCGCGAATAGAGCTTTTTACTTCAAGTCGCTGTGAGCGCTCGGCGTCTGACTGTCATTCGTATAGCTGCGATATTCAAGTTCAAAGAGATAATTCCGACAAGAACTTTGTCAAATATTTTGCAAAGTGTGATTCCTAATACTAAAACTAAGTAGCTCTGATGAGAATTTTTTTAATGTAGCATAAAGATGTTAAAATAACAAATTGAAATATTCAATGTCGCTCGCGTCCACTGCGTAAGGAGCACACTGCCCCTCTCTCGTTGCGTTAGTTACTCGATGCGCGGAGTGGTGGCGGCCGCCCCCGGCGTGTATTTTATTTTAATTTCATGATATCTTTTGAATGGCATGTCCGATTTCAATAATTAAAAAAGGAATCATTAGGTATTGAGACAGTCTTGAATATTAAATTATTTATTTGGATAAAAATGTATAAACGGTATGGATAACACGCTCTGATTTTGATCGGGATATCTATTAATTTGTTAAATGTAAAAAAGTAGTTATAGCGACGTAACTACAATAGTTAGACATGTGCTCTTATGATGTTTTTTGTAGATATTGATATATTTTATAATATTATCGAACATTATTTTGTCCTATCATAAATACTTCTCGCAGCGTCTGCAATGAAAGATATTTTATGGCAAATTTTTATACACCTCCCGTTGGTTTTCATAGAAATTTCTAAAGATTTATATAGTAATCTAGTACTAAATATAGCCTATGTTACTCAGTGATAATGTAGCTTTCTAATGAAAAAATAATTATTAAAATCAGTTCAGTATTTTTTGTGTTTATTCGTTACATACAAATATACAAATGTTTCCTCTTTATAATATTGGTATAGATTGTACAAGCTGTCTAACTGACAAACAGTAGAGCTTTGCTGAAATTCAGTGTTGAAGCATAACTATCTTAAAATTAAATTAAATCATTAATATTTACATTTACACTTTTCTAGCATCGTACTAAATGAATGTCAAATAAAGAGATTTTATTATTATCACAAAGTTTACAACCGTTCGTTTCGTGCATGATCATTGCTTTTTTCATTTCGTTCGTTCGATTTCATGTCGATCGAAGCAAACGCATAACGCCACTGTGAAACTTTGACAGTTAGAAATTTTAAGGTTAATTTTAATAAGTTTTTGGCTTCCGAGCACACCACGTATATTTTTTGTAAAATATTTTCAATTGTTTATCATTAATAATTATAGAGTTTAACTATAAAAAGTATGCTTACATAATTTGCATTTGCATAGAAACTTCTAAATTATTCTATATAATCTCTTATAAATTTTAATAATATGAACTAAGTTTGAATATAATTTTATCAGCGAATATTCAAAGCAATTGTATTTTTATCTATCACTGATAAGATCGTTTTTTCAAAAAGAACACTATTTTTTTTTGTTTTGATACGTTAATTACTTTTTATTTCTACTTATACAGAGTTTTAAATGCTTTAATTAATTTTAGGAGCTTCCCACTCTTGTTATGAACTAAAAACACCATAAAATTGAAAATTTAGGCGGATCCCTAAAACGAAGCTACTGAATTCGAAACGTCACGCCTTTTTTATCTGTCGGACGGTGGTTCCTGACCCGAACGGAATTTCATTTTATTTCTTCCACTCTATTAATATCGAGATTTGCAGACGAATTCCAACATGCTTAAGAAATATTATAAATCGATTAGAAACATGTTGATCCACGAGCTCGCCAAATACATAAATATATTTGAAATTATTTATTTGTCTGCAATTTTATGGGAATCCTTCACCCTAGTCGTCTTTATCTTATTCACGAACAAACATACGCATAGAGAAAAATGATCAACGAAACTTATTAAGTGATTGAGCGAAAGCAAAAAAAAAAAAAAAAAAAAAAGAAAGCCACTGCAGTGAAATCCCGTTTTCCTCAGTGGGGCTCATGGGACAACACATTGTTGTCATTTCACTGATTGATTTAATTACCTTGACCTGTAGTAAGCAATAAATCAGACTTCTGTGCCCTGCCTGACCGATATTATTTTTCAATGTCCCCGGTATTCGAACCAGGTATCTTTCATGCTTGACGTAATGCTGGAGCAGACGATAACCATTAAGCTACCGAGGCCCAAGAATGCAAAGTATGAAATATCAGTAAGTAGGTGCCGTGCACTTGGTAAAACAATAAAATAAAAAAAATATTAATATAAATACTGTCTGTAGTTTACGCAAGTAGTACACAGTTAAATAAAACACAGTTCAGGTCTGTTCTTGTGTTGAAAACTTTTTCATTTAAATATTCAAGGCTTCGCCAAACCTTGGTTATTTACAAAACCTATCGTCGTCGACAAACGTACACGTATACGTATAAAATTTTATAATTAAAAAAAATCACAAATAGTTTTCTGTGTTAAGAGTTATTTAATTATTATGCCCCACATATTTTTATATTTTTTTTCATCACTCTAATTTTTCAAACTCTCTTTCACTTTTTATTTTGTTACGTTAAGGTTTTTTACTTTCTATAACTTTTAAGGTAGTTGAACTTTCGCAAATAATGTTTATTAACGCTATAACAACAATCACTAAGAACACAATAATATAAACATTTAAGCGAGTCCGTATAACAATGAAGCGATTTCTGTGAAAACCCATATTCTTCTATGGGACATGGGGCGAACACATTGTTGTATTAGTTTGTTGGTATTGATTGATTTAATTTACAGGCAAATAATGGATCAAACTTCTGTTCCGTGCCTGACCGAAAAAAAAATAGTTTCCCGAAAAAAGGATCAGACGATTAACCATCGGGCTATGGAGTCACAAGACCAATATACAAATTTTGAAGCGTAGATATTTAAAAATATCTTTATCAACGAACATTTTAATAGTTTTGGACGATCCGTAGTTTGGAGCTTTTTATAATAATCAATTTAAACGACGCGCGGTAGTTTTTATTTCAGGACACGCTGTGTGAATTCTGAAGGTTGTATAATATTTAAAATACGATGTGCATGCTGGTACTCTGGTAGCCGTGTCGTATTTGTTTATTTAAGTAAGTAAGTAAGATTTTATTTTATATAATACTATTATATTTATTTATACATACATTACTACATATATATTTATTTATACATATATAAATATGCAGGCTCACTTGCACTTGCAATAACAGTATGTATTTTGTATATTCAAATAAAAAATTGATGACTACTAATAATGTTAATGAAATACGTTGCTTATCATCCTGTAAGCACGAGAGGTCCACGCATTCCGGATAACATGATCGATTACTTACTTGTATAAAAAACAATAATTGAAACGGATACAGAAATGTGTTGGTGTTGTACCACGGAACACGAAATTTCAACGTACCGTATAAGTAATTACATTACAAGCAACATCCAGTCGATTTTTTTTATAAAAAGACTACGTCGATGAGTAGTTTTTCAGTAATTTAATCTCAGTTATAGAACTTGAACTAGGATAATCGAAATTTCCGGTACCGAACCACCGTCCACAGATGGAAAAGTCGGTTAATCGCGTTTCGGTTTTAGTCTGCGGGTTTCCTAATATCCTTGCTAAAATAGATTGACAGCGCATCTTGTTAAGACGTTATGTAGCCGGGGTATTTCACCTTCCATCAGGTGAACCTTACACTTAACTACAAAAAAAATTGATATAATCATCGTGTTCTACTAGGAAAAATATGTAATCCTCCATTTTGTATCGGCGGTCATCTTTGATTTATAATGGTTTAGATTTTTATTATATTGTAGGTGCTTAAATTTCAATTTATTATTTTGACCAAAATAAATAATAAATAATTTCCGTACGGGTCGAGCTAAGTAAAACCGTATAAATACTTTGAATTTCGTAAAAATTGGTGGCGCCATTTTAGCGTTGAAAATATACAGTAGATTTATAACATGGTATTATTCCATTTGAAAAATCATATTTTTTTATTGTACCGAACACAACTATAAGTAAATACAAACTTTTTCAATCAAACTATACAAATACAGTTTGATTGAAAAATGCCTTATCGCTGTCGAGTGATTTCTTGAGATTAAATAATTTTGTTCATCAAGTAGTTAAAATTAAAAATCTCAGATAGTCAGTTGAAGTAAGCCTTTTTGTAATATTTCGAAAATGATTTGTTTGAGATTGGTGATTGGAAGCACATTAGAAGCTATTGTAGATGGAAGTAAGAACGAACACAACACATCAACGCCGTTCAACAATTCGTATTTGAATTCTAGTTTCGATAGTAAAAGAAACCATTTTATATAACTAAAATACTGTCTGTAGTTTACGCGAGTAGTAAACATTTAAATAAAACACTTTAACTGTTTATAACGCTATATAATTATATTAGTTACACTTATTCGAAATTTATTTTAAGAACGGCCCGAGGTTTAGAATGCTTCGCAGCAGCTGTGGGTGGTCACGGGTGTAGCAACGATGTTGCAGCTAGGCAAAATTCAAATAAGTTTATCTAATATATATCGCGTTTTAATCCGTTAAATTGTTTTATTTCAATAAATAACTTATTAAATGTTACGTTGTTTAAATGAAACTAAACTAACAAAAGAAAGTAAATGTTTTTGTAATTGTGTGATATTAAAAAATAAAAATAAAGTTCTACCTTATAATTCTCGCATTGATTGGCGTCCTTCCTGTTGCATTGCATTGTAATGACTAAAAATAGCAGTAGAAAAGCAACAGACACTAATCTACGTGTGCACAAATTAATAACACAAAACCATTCATCACGATAAATGGATTGATACATTTTTGTTTGTAATCCCCATCAGAAATCACTTCAACATTATGTATACACAATTTTCAATAAATGAAAGAGTATGTCTGTCTGTTGACAATGACTCACTGACAAGTGATAACTGTTAAGGTGTCAACTAAAGTAGCTTTATTTCAAATAAGCGTCGTTTTCTGTACTATTTAAATGTTTTGCCCTTTTAAATAAGTATTTCCATGATAAAGATATTTCAATCAATATATCTTAAAATTAAATCAAATAGAAACTCGCCAGAAAACCTATAGTTCTACACTAGCTTATCATTCACAAAAGTGCGCCTGCTTTAACACAAATTTTATAAAGAGCAAACACTTAATTAGATTAGCATTATCAATTGAGAGAGATAATTTTCCCTTTAAAATGCTGATTGCTCCCGCCAGGAGTTATACGACTAGTAGCAGCGGAAAATGAAATTCCTAGCTGTCTTCATCGGCCTTCTGGCTGTAACTCTTGCTGAGCCCATCTTCGAAACCAGTGCCACCAACTACCATGAAAACGTAGGTATTCCCGATGCTGTAAGGATCAGGCAGGCCGAGGAAGCTTTAGACTTCGATGCATCCAGAATCATCGGAGGTGGCAACTCCAAGTTAGGGAACAACCCTCACTTGGTAAGAGCTAAGTCTTTCTTTAGTATTACCTATAATGTTTTTTTTTTATTCTATAATATTAATTGCTAACTTATAACTTTTGTTTGTTCAAGGGCGGACTCGTTATTACTCTCACCAACGGTCGGACCTCTGTCTGCGGATCGTCTCTAATCAGTAACACTAGGGCAGTCACCGCTGCTCATTGTTGGTGGGACGGCAGGAACCAGGCCCGTCAGTTTACCGTTGTTCTGGGCTCACTGCGTCTCTTCTCTGGCGGTACTCGTGTCAACACCAACAATGTTGTCATGCACCCGCAGTGGAACCCAAATACCCTTACCAACGATGTAGCCGTCATAACAATTAACCGCGTTAATTTTAACAGTAAGTATGTTCTCTAGATGAACTCTTGTTTACTAACAAAAGCAAAAATAAACTAAATAATACTTCAAAAAGAGAGAGTAACTACCACTCTATTATTTAATCTTCTTCAGTTTATTAAAAAAGAGATTTTGTATAAAGTTGTTTCCCCATATAAATACTTCTTAATATTTCTTTTTTATCGTTATTTCAGACAACATACAGTCTATTAACTTGGCTTCTGGCAGCAATGCTTTCGTCGGAACCTGGGCTGTCGCAGCTGGCTACGGAGCTACTTCTGACTGTAACTATCTTCAGTATTTTTCACAGAGAATCTAATATTTAGGTAAGAAAATTATAGAATTTTGTAGCCACTAAAATTTCTCATTTTATTTTAGCTCAATCTGGAATATCAACAAGCACTGTTCAAAAGCACATCAGTCTCAAAGTGATCTCTGTCGCCGAATGCCGCAGAACCTTCTCTTTCATCACCGACTCCATCCTCTGTGTTGAAACCCAAGGAGGCAGAGCTAGCACTTGCGGCGGTGACTCTGGTGGTCCCCTTTACACTGGCTCCGGAAACTCTAGATCCTTGGTAACATAAATTATTTCACATTGAATTGTATTGTTTTATAGCCTCGTCATTCATTCTTAATGCTTTTTTCGTTCCAGATTGGTATCACATCTTTCGGTCACAGAGACGGTTGCCAGCGTGGTCACCCAGCTGGTTTTACAAGAGTCACTTCATTCAACTCTTGGATCCGGAGCCGCATGTAAAGGCTCAATTGTGGTGCACAGCTGTTATGAAAAATAAATAACTTCTTTAACACATAACACTTTTCTTTGATACTAGATTCCACATAATTATATCTTATAAAAATGTCTACTGTACAAGAAACAAAATACCTTCAACTGTTTTAATAATTAACATATTTTAAACCACGACACGACGCTATGTAGAAGCAAATCTCAAGACCACGGCTGGCTTTTGAAAAATAATATTTACACATGACGTTATTTGCACACGGATTTGCAATTTCAATTAATCCATGGCTGGGTTTAATCCAATTTTCTTTTGGTTCCATTATTATAAATAAATCTATGAATCAAATTAATAACAATATGCACTTTTATATTACAAATTGAAATAAACAAAAACAACATCAGTTTATGTAGAAGTTACTAGTCCTACCTACTTATTTATTGGTTCTAAAGGTTGATTAACAATAAAGTCAAATTATCTTTGAAATTAAAAAACACAATATATATTTTTTATATAAAAATCAACTACATTTATTTAACTGCATACACTGGCTTGCCGCTACGAATAAGAAATTAGTAATAACAGAAAATCTAAATTCTGATATTAAATTTCTCTCAATGTTTCTGTATTATGACAAGCGTGTATATTTTATATGGAACCCCCAAGTGTATATTTGAATATAATTGAAGTAAATATTTAATAATATTACTCTGTTATTTTGTAAATAGGTATGTATTTCAAGTGCCTACTTATTGCCATAAAATACGAAAAATGTATAACAAATCGCGTTTTTGTAAGTACCCTTAAATAATATATGTATCACACTTATCACACACGAATGGACAGGCAGCAAAATTCGATTATTACCCTTTGGGTATAGAACCTCAAAAAGAAGTCGGTTTAAAATACCTCACTCTGCTCCTGATTGAAATAAGGAAATTTCATTTAATCATACTGATGAATTAAATTATTTTCAAAGAATTAACGACTAACCCTTTACTACCTCATTATCTGCTCATTTGCGTTATATCAAAACAAAGTAAAACAGATAAGAGACAAATGAATGGATTGCAAAGTGGCGATATCCACATCGGCTTCACTTTCCACATTCCTTGTTTAATCTTAATGTCAATTATACACTTAACAGGGCATGGAACCGGCATTCTTGAAGTCCCTTTCACGAGGAAAGTTGTTTTCGTGGTTGTGATCGGGACTGTTCCATACATACTGTAATGTCAGACAAAGAATTTTACATATAATCTAAGAAGAAAGCCTGTTTCTAACAAACGATTTGTGTTGTTTTTTTATAATTAAATAAACACGTTTTTAGAAAAGACACTGCTATTGATAAAAACAATTAGCAAAATGTTTTAGAGTGTATGTATGTACCTATTGTATTTTGTCTTTGCGGAGCTCTCTAGTTTTTTTGATGAATTCTTTTAATTAATCACTATTAATATTATAAATGCGAAAGTAAAACTCAAATAGGCATTGTTTATATAAACAATACCATGGATAAACTTATTATGAATACCTTAATAAGCTCTTTGCAGTGATTTCTTTTTATGATACAACATACAAAAATACTTACAATCCTCAATTTTCACCCTTCTACGATCAACCCTTATTTTTTTAATAGCCATTTTAGTAATTTAGTTATTTTTCCTCTCCGGTCGAAAACTGATATCATTTAATTTATGGCAAAACAACGTTTGCCGGGTCAGCTACTATATTTATGATACAGTCTAACAATCGGGAAGAAATCCCGTCTGTTGCTAAAGAAGTGCATATTCTATTATAAAACTTTGGAATATAGCTATCGCTATCGATAAGAAAACAATTTCAACAACTTAATCCTTACAACATTGGTCTGATAATGGCAAAGGTTTAGAGCGAAATCATAATTACAGTATATATCTTGTTTAGGGTCCAGCATAACTCAGTTTACATTAAAAAAAAAGGTTAATATAAGACGAAAAGTGTTAACTTCATTTTAGCTCTTTGCCGTTTTTAAATTTAATATCTTTGGTCTTAGCTACTTATTTATATATTTTAATAGGATCAGCAGCATTTTGTAAAAAAGTAACTGTAATTAATAATTTAAGATTTTCAGTTTTCAAAATCGAGAAATAAATCGATGTGACGAGTTACTTGTCAAAACGAAGACATACTTTATTTTTCTAAAATAACCAAATTTAAAAAAAATACAATATTCATTATATTTAAAATCTGAAGTACATGTATAATAATATTTAAATTGTTTTGAACCCGTTCAAATTTTCTTTACAATTGACCTTATCATATTTCAATGGAATCCTATCTGTTTATAATATTTATGAGACAGTGGTTTTTCCAAAACGGCTTTCTTTACATTTATATAAGCTTTGCCCGCAACTATGTACGCTGTTTACTTTAATCTTTACTAATACTAAAAGCTGGAGATTTTTTTGTTTAAACGCGAAAATCTCCGGATATACTGACTTGAATTACATATTATTTTAATGTTTTAAAAAGCATTTATATACTTTAAGACTTTATTCTACTACGACTAATAGGAAAGATTTTTCATCTTTAAGGACTTTCTATCGTTTACCGCAAAACAATTCAAGAAACGCAAAAAAACGATACAATGATTGATTATTCTTGAATAGTCTAAAATGTCCACTAGATAACGATTAACTCGCAAGAACTATTTTTGGGGTAATCATATTTTGTCGAAATTTTTATATATTAGCAATTATAAATGGTATACCTTTGTCGGAACAGCAAGTTCTATCTGTTTTCATAAACGATAATACCTAATGCTTAAATACTGTGGAGGGGATGAGAGAAAGCTCTGCCATTTAATCAGAAATATTGTTACTATTTGTAACAATAAAGTATTTAAAATATCAGTCCTGTACAACCAGGACAGCCACCACACTTTTTATATACATACTTGGGATTCCTTGATTAGAATATATATGTCTTAATCGATTATTAATTGTCAAACACAAAGCGATAAGACCCCCCTGCTCATTTTTCATGGAATCTTAAGATAATACCTGCTATAAAAGTTGATGTACTGAATATTTTGTCATTGTAAGGCAAAAGCTGAGAGATCATGAAGTCCCTGGCTATTCTGTGCGGTCTCCTGGCCCTGGCGTGCGCCAAACCAACCGACATCACCACAGCGCATAACTACCACGAGAACATTGGCATCCCGGAGGCAACACGCATCCTGCAGTTAGAGTCAGCTCTCGATTTCGATGGCTCCAGAATCATTGGAGGTGGTGCTTCTAACTTAGGAAACAACCCTCACCTGGTATATATCTTACTAAGTATGCGTACAAGATATCAAACGATGAATTTATTGTTTTAAACGCCTGAATCATGATTTTAGGGTGGACTTGTCATTAATTTGGTCGATGGAAGAAGGTCAGTTTGTGGGTCTTCACTTCTTTCGCACACAAAGGCAGTCACGGCAGCTCATTGCTGGTCTACCGGCCGTATCCGCGCACGTCAGTTCACCGTTGTGCTTGGGTCTGTCCGTCTGTTCTCTGGAGGTGTCCGTATTGTCACTAACAACGTCGTCATGCACCCGCAGTACAGACCTAGTCCCCCTACAAACGATGTAGCTGTTATCACGATGAACCACGTTAATTACAATAGTAGGTGGATTTATAAGTTTACTTTATAATTCTCCTTAGCTGCGCTTCTAATCACTCTTTATGGATTTCAGACCACATCCAGCCTATTGCTTTGGCTGCTGGTAACGATGCGTTTGTTGGAACTTGGGCGGTTGCAGCTGGCTACGGCGCTACTTCTGACGGTACTTTTGGGGTCTATTTTAGTTTCTTAGGAATTTTGCATTCTTTTCTTCTGCTTTTTCTCATGTGATCGTTTTCTTATTCTAGGACAACAAGGCATACCGAATAACACTGTACAAAGACAGGTCAATTTGAATGTGATTAGCAACGACCAGTGTCGCAGAACCTTCAATTTCATTCCTGCATCCATTATTTGCGTCGACACCCAGGGTGGAAGAGCCAGCACTTGCGGTGGAGATTCTGGCGGTCCACTTTCTATTGGTAGCGGTAGCGGAAGGAGATTGGTAAAATATTTTAAATAATTTATTTAAAAGCAACGGTTATCATAAGAGATGTGTTTGCTACATGCAGCTTCGGACGAAGATGGAGTTGTTTGGTAGTCGTGCACACACTGCAACTGACTTACGAAATTGTGTTTGTTTTAGAATATAAATAAAATAATTGTATAAAAACCAAACAGCGTAAACTAATTTGTGCTTTCATTATATTTTTTAAGGGTCAGGATCAGTGTCTAACTAATCTTATCATTTAAGTTCCTACGGCTGTTTTACATAATACGTTTTATGTAATTCCAGATTGGTATCACATCCTTTGGACATATTTCGGGTTGCCAGCGTGGTCACCCAGCCGCCTTTGCCAGGGTCACCTCTTTCAACGCTTGGATTCGAGGCCGCATGTAATATAACTCATGTGAAAAATTGATTGAGTGATCCAAATGTAAAGTTTATTAATAAATGTGTATTATGAAAATATTGCCTTTTAAATAAACATTTGTATACATTTCATACTATCAAGCATATCCACTTTGTAACGTGTTGTAAGTGTTGCAAGGCGTAAGGCAATGAGCATTAGCTGATGATAGTGCAGAAATAGATTAATTATGAATAACGTCGAACAATGCTATCTTCATCACAACTGCCGTTGCCATAGATAACAACAACTTTAATAATAAAAAAAACTTAGCAATAATCGTGTTACCTAATATAGGACACGGTTTAGGGTTTCTACAACGAAACCTTATTCTTGTTTATACGATATGTATTGTAGACGAGAATGTATCTAAGTGCACGTGTGAGCGACAAACATTTGTAAAGTCACGAGTTCAACACTAGGCCGTGCAATCAATTTGAGTAGACTATTTGTACAATTTGACATGTGCACGGCAAGTTCTAAATGCCCTTTTTTTAAATATGAAGTAATAATTTTCACCTGTAAAGACGCAGCATGGCTTAAGACTCATATCATACTACACTATATTACATCATATTCTATAATATATCGATATCATAGGAGTGAAAATATTCGGATTAACTATGATTGATGAACACTCGTAACATTTTTGTTTTAGTATCAGTTGTTATATGGCCACAGAAAATTGAATTACTGGAAAAGAAAATTGTCTAGCTACCGTTATTTTTGAAATGAACTGGTCCCACTGCATGGCAGTTTGTTTTTACACTTTAGGTACAAACTCGTGAAAAAATAAATCGGTATGTACTTTATGTTATAACGCATTACGTTATTCGGGAACAGCAGCAGATACAGTCACAGGTTAACCGCGATTCCAGCTCGTAAGCCGATTTTCCTATTCCAACCCGCGGATTTATATCAAAAAATTATGTTCATATATTAATATAATTATATAATAAATATTTACTTATATATTATTACTTCATAGAATTATTTATTCTTTTTATGTCGCGCATACAGATTTTTTGATAATGTAATTTAATGTACTATGATTAAAATGATGAGATGACGTATTTATTATACCTAATAATCATTATCATTAAAGTCTTTCGATTGCTTCATTGTCAATAACATATTAGAATTCGATAATTTAGACAATTATCAATAGCTTATCAACGATAATACTTCCTTATAAAGTAGTAATTGTCAAGATTAAAATAATTAAAAACGTGAAAATGAAGTTGATTGCTGTATTTGTCGGTCTTTTAGCTTCGGCCACGGCACAACCGGAAAGCATTACAGCTTATAATTACCATGAAGCCGTTGGTATAACAGAAGCTACAAGAATCCAGCAGGCAGAAGCAGCTCTCGACTTTGATGGGTCCAGGATAGTTGGAGGCAGCATATCGAGATTGGGGGCTAATCCACACTTAGTGAGTAGTTGGGTGCAGGTTCTTAACAGGTCGATTGTTAATTAAGACTTAAGCCTATTAATCTTGCTAACGCGTTCGGTAGATCATGAAATTTGATTAGAAACTTGAATATGATCAAATTTAACTTGTTTCTAATATGCAGAAAACAAAATAAATAATTATACATCTCGTAGTTACATAATTATGAAATGTAAAAAATAAGTATTGTCTGTAGCTTACGCGAGTAGTACACATTGAAATAAACACTTTAAATATTTCAAATTCGAAATGTTAATTTCTAATAGTTCATCAAACATAAAACGTATTTAATGGTTAAAAGTATTTTTTTTTAATGTTGCTTATTTAATACTGAAAATAACTATGTAAAGAAATTTTTAGATTAAGCTTAGATTTTATTTAGGTCTGTATTTCTGCAAATAGGTATATACGATCGATACTTAAAAATGCATATAAAGTTTATTTCCTTCTCCGTATTATCAAATAGCAACATAAACGCATTATGGTTACTTTTAAACGGGGTTTTTGGAAAAACAAATCTTAATGCTAATTTCCCGACAGGGTGGTATGGTTGTAACGTTACTCGATCGAAGGACTTCAGTGTGTGGATCTTGTCTCCTCACAAACACCAAGGCAGTGACTGCAGCTCATTGCTGGACTGACGGTCGTGCCCAGGCTGTGCTCTTCACGCTAGTACATGGTTCTCTGCGACTGTTCTCTGGTGGAGTAAGGACCTCTACTAGCAATGTTGTGATGCACCCCAATTGGAATCCAAGCAATGGCTACAGCGATATTGCCGTTGTTACATTCTTCAGAGTAAATTTCAATAGTAAGTTTAAATTTGCTTATCCTAAAGAAAATATAATGTTTATGTATTATATAATTGTAGCGCACAATTTTCTGTTGCCGAATTAGTTATTTAAAACAAATCTTGCCTTCTACTAGTTTTTTAAGCAACAGAACTTAAGCAAGGAACAATAAATGTTCACCTCGAGGGCAACTCTCAACCAATTCAGTATTTACTCTGATAAGTCATGTTCGATTGTCGAATTGCTAGAGTTCTTGAAATATATTCATTTGACAATACATATAGTATTTTTACAAAAAATTGATTGCTATATGTATTTATTTAAATAGTTATATACCTAAAACTCAGTTTCTTATGCATGTAAATAGATTTTAAAAGGCGATTGGTATTGTAGTAAATTACTCAAACTAAATATTTGAAGGCAATTCAGTTTATTTGTAAATTTAAGGTTTTATTGCAATTTACTTTTCAGACAATATTCAGCCCATTACCTTAGCTTCCGGCAACAATAACTATGTCGGCACGTGGGCTCTAGCTTCAGGGTACGGCGCTATTGCACAAGGTGAAATCTTCATGGTGATATACAGGCACAATTTTTGTTACACGTACTTGAATAAGTTATTAAAAAAATTATCATCTCGTGAGACACGGGGCGGCATTTCAGGATCCGTTTATTTACAGGACGGTATGATCAGATTATGTGCCCTGCTCGCCCAAAACAATTTACTGTCTCTGCGAGCTTCGAACCTAAGATCTCTTGCGCTTAACACAAGAAAGAAAGAAAAGTAGCCTAAATTATTTTATCTCTTTAACAGTTCAGCAAATCATAGAGAGCCAATGTCAAAGGTAGAATATGAATTCGCTGTCTTTTAATTATACACAAAACACTTAAATTAATAAAAATCACTTTTAACTGTTCAAAACATGAAATATATTAACTTTTAATTTCATTCAAAATTTTAAGGGTAATGTTTTATTTTGTACCTTTATTGACACACAAATAGAAATTTGGAACAATATTTTTCTCATTTTTGCCAGTCACAGCAGAATCTGTATAGGTTTCTCTAATAAATGGGCTACTTGACACTAAAATCCTATTAATTTGATCAAACATTCGGAAACAAATTCTGGACTTCGTTCCCTGCAGTTGCATTATCGCTTGAGGTGAAAATGTATCCCACATGTAAGCGAATTTACGAATTCCAATGTAATATGCACTTGTATCTATGTGAATTATCAAAGACACTTATGTGCAAATATAACAATAATTTGCATAATACCATTCAAATAGTGTTGCAGAAGTTATAACTTATAAGCTTCTTATACACCTCACTGAAGCTAACGTGGTATATAACACGCTTAAACTTTTGCATATACTTAACCCTAATAGAGATTTTACTCCTAATATTAATTTTGAAAAGATCTCCTTATATATTACATGTAAATAGTAAGTCCTCATCATTTGAATCTTGGACATCATGCAAGTTGCACCATTTACACTCTAAATAAAATAACTTAGCCATTTAAGACAAGAAATATTCGAGTTAACTTTTTAAAAATATATTTCAAATACGGCTCGACGTTTCAGATGCTTTGTAACAATCACGGTTACGAGGGGACTATGACCAGAGTAGACTAGATAATGCTAATGTGGAATAAAACTTATAAACCGTTAAAAGTGTGAAAGACCATATTACTTGTTAAAATAATTATTATATTTCTAGGTGAAAGTGTCTCCAGGGCAACAGTACAAAGGGAAGTTAGTCTAAGAGTGATTTCGAACGCGGAGTGCCGTCAAACGTTCAGTTTCATATCCGACTCAGTCCTCTGTGTGGACACTCAGGGCGGCAGAGCCAGTACTTGCGGTGGTGACTCCGGTGGTCCCCTTGATATTGGAAATGGAAATTCTAGAGCTTTGGTAAGTTCAAAATAGGTGTTCTTTTCTAGTATAAGTATGTACGTAGTAGTTCTTTGTCATAATAATTTAAGTACAGTCCTGTTTACGCACTCGCCTACTAAGCTTTTACCAATGGTGGTATTATGGGACTAACCTGTTTATCTGAACAATTATATTTATAGGCAATGCTACTATGGATCAAGGCCAAAAGAGGTCGCCAGGGCATCATATTTAGATATTAATTGGCTCAAACGTCAAACCCAATGCTTTCGTGTGATAAAAATTAAACAACCTTTTTTACACTACACGAAGAATTTTCTGTCTATTATTTTTTCTCCCCGCAAACAATCCCTCACTTACAAAAGTTTACTCTCATTTTAATTTATCTTTCAGATTGGTATCACTTCCTTTGGCCATAATGATGGCTGCCAGCGTGGTCATCCAGCTGCCTTCACCAGGGTTACATCTTTCAATGCTTGGATTAGAAGTCATTTGTAAAAAACAATTTCCGACTTATATTTATCTGTTAAGTTTACTTAATAATAAAAAATACTATGAATATTGATTTAAATTCATTAAATGTAATATCTACTAAAATTTATATATTTGTTGTAAAGTATGTTTTGAAAACGGTAAACTTGCTTTTACCTCTGTTTTTTAATTATTAAAAATTCTAACCTAACTAATAACTTATATCCATTTTTAAAATTTAAATTATTTATTCTCAAAGAAAATAAACAAAACCGTAATTTTAATGTAATATCGGAATAATAAATTTCCTGTAATACCTCACTTTTCCGATAATTTTATTATTAAAAGAGAGTGTACCAATAGCAGCAAGTTTAATTCAAATAATTTTTTTGTTGTTTTTAAATAATGTTTGATATTACAAATGTGAACATTATTCATTTTCTTGCAAATTACAGTCACAATTTCGTTTTAGAGTGTATAAGTAGAGTTCGTAAAAATATTTTTTTTTGAATAGTTTAGGTACTGTTAATATTAGGATTCGATTCAGGTATTCTAAACACACAGAGAGTAAAAAATTCGTCCTTTAATTTTAGATCTATTCTTAAAAATGTGCTTGAACTATATAAATAACAACAATTGGTGCTGCTGTATCAACAATGAAGTAAAAGGTCTTAGTTTTACCGAACATTCATTGGTTGGAGTATTTCACAGTAACAGTAGTGACATTGTTTATCCTACTTATTTATTTCGGGAGGTGTACATGAACTAAGAATTCAAACTTTCGTGATTAAAACAAGGAAAATATATTTTCAACCATCCAACGAAGACACGAGTATATAAAAGATTATTTCGAGTAACAAAAATAATACGTCCACAATAGAATCTCTCTTACAACAAAAATGTGGATGAGTCCAAAACAAATTTCTTGTATATTGGGAGCGCAGTGTACATAGAGACAAAGACGTTGAATAATACACGCCGTCCTATACACACACATCTGTAATAGAATTACCCCAGGAACATGTTTACTCGCCAGAATAAATACCCTCCAAGTGTTTATAATATAAATGGCATTTACTTGTGATGCTGGTAACTGCTAAATTATCTATCGCTAATTAATAAATTACAGGAAGCAACAGTTAAATCAAACATCTATTTTTAATTAAAAAAAAAATATAATTTTATTTTATTGAGTGAAGAATACAGAAGTACGCCAGCCATGTAGCATATTGGTTTTGAACATTCAAAACAAAAACAAAACTTCACGGCTTTTTCATATGTGCACTGAAATGTGTTCGCTAGAGTTCATTATATTATAAATCCGAAAGTTAATTGTAAATGTTTTGATGCTAATAAGTGTATGGCTAATAATCTCAGGGTCGTGGGTTTGATCTCCACCGGGTCTAACATGTTTCTATTCAATTTATATTTTTTCTGGAACATGTTTGCCTTCATCTGGTAATCTGGATATTAATGGGTGGTAAGAATATCGACAATTCCGTCTGGGTCACGAACCACCGTCCACAGATGAAAAAGTCTATTCGCGTTTTGGTTTCAGTCTGTGAATTTCCGAATATCTAAAACCAAAAATGGGGCAATAACGAATCTTGTTAAGATTTAAATTCTGTGGTATTTCACCTTCCATCAAGTGATTCCCATGCATCTTCTCTATCATAGAAAGGTATCTCGCGTTCCCACCCAAATAACCACTTTCTACAAATATTGATAACATCTTAAGATTTAACACATTAACAATATTTATATAATCGAATAACTCATAGATAATTTAAATCCACCCTCTCCACAACACATATTGTATTTGATCGGTTCGCCTATTACTATTAACGGTAAACGATCAGCTACAGAATAAGCAATATAACCTATAACTATCAAGTTTGGTACTAGTACTAAATTACTTGCTAAGTGCGCGAAATTACTTCGATGCAATATCGATCTTCAGATGTTCAAGCTATGTACGTGATTATTAATTCACGTACATGACTATAATAATACATGTAAGATTATTGAGTACATTATAAATAGCAACAAAAAATATATTAGTTCGACAAGTTACATTTCCGTTTGTTGACGTGTAATTCTAGTAAAGTTTTTTTATGACAAAAGGGGGAGAGATCCACATGTTTGTCTAATGGAAGGTTAAAATGTTCAGACTCCATAACTTCTAATTAAGATGCGCCGACGGCCTATTTTAGCTTTCCGCACTGAAAAATTCACAGACTGAATCCAAAATACGGAATCATACTTCATGTTTTTTCACCTGCCGACCTTCGTGATGAAATTTCGAATTTCCTATCTCCTGACCATCTGCGTAAGTCAATGGCTAAACACGTCGCAGTTGCTGCTCAAAAAGTCCTGGATTCGAATTTTGGACAAATTATACATTGTTTCGGTCGGGTAGTCTAACTTAATCAGACTTCTGCAATCTGCTTGTACATAAAATCTATCAAAGAAACTCCCCCATTTACATTCCCCACCCCTATACTCGTTCGCCTCATACCCTACAAGGGAAACAGGATTTCACTTATTCATTTAGCCTTTGTTTTATGCGCTTTGTAAATTGGTAAGAGAAGTCAGATTTAGAAATATATTAAAAGAGGTTTAATAGGTTAACCCATGACAAGTTGTTTGGTTAGCTGAATAATTTAAATTATATATTTTAGTTCCCAAGATTCTTTGTTATATTTAGATTATATTAATAAATATTTTATATCCTTTTTAAAATTAGTAAAGTAATCTAATTATACAACTATATATTAAATAAATATAATATAAAAAGAGACAACAGAGCATTTAAGAATTCACATCAAAGAAACCCCATAACGCCATGTGTATGAACATTTACGTTTAAACTTCTATTCTACCACTTTGTTGTTGGGTCGTCTTCGAATAACGTGGTTTATGTTTTTTTTTTTAATTGTGAAAGAGTAAACGTTTGACTGTGACTTAACCTGGTGTTAGGAGAAAGCACAGCCCAGGTATCACGTTTATCTTTAAGGTACCTATTAATATTTGCTTTGAAAATGTCCTGTGCTCAGTCATTTTCAGAACAGAGTTCACCAAGCCATTTCACAGATTTATTCGTCTTTAATAAAATCCCAAGAAGCAAAGCTAATATGATGAAAGTGATAAAGTGTCCCGCGGGTATTGTCGAAGATCAAATTGTCATCATCTATCACAAACACGTCAGCTGAAGTCGCCTAAGTGAATGAAATATTTCATTTATATGTTATGTAGGTATTTTTCAAGACTATTTTAACATTTATACAGTCTATGAAAAAATCTAACTTTTATGGTATCGAATCTTTTCAATGCGAAAATTCTGTAATGATGTAACAGATATAGAATCGTGTAAATTTGTATTGGACTAACCTATTTTTATCTATACCAAATTATCAGTAATAAATCAGTTAACTTATTTTGAATTTATTAATTCTTTAGCCATAGTCCTCCTGTGGCTATGGCTGGCATAAGCATTTGAATGGCGAAACTGTAGTTAAAATAAATAATTTATCAATAAATTTAAGCCGTTTAAGTAGGGTTTTATTTAAATATATATACATATATATATACTGACATAAATAACAGACAATACTTAATTGTGCAAAATGTTAATGTATGAGGAAATGGATTATAATTTTAACGTAATATACATAAAGTAATAATAATTTAAACTACTTATGAACACAAAAATTTGTGTGAGTATATTTAACAATGGTGGAAGAAAAGATATGTATAAGAAAAGGGCATCGATTTCACCAAAAATAATTATTTTCCTTAACAGCATAGTCTATAGATCCGTTATACAGGCAGTTTTGAATATACCATTATTATTACTCCATACACCTTCCTAAACTAATCCGATATCTTGCGAGGCACCGCACGTTATATTAAGGACTTTATCGACAATATTGTTAGAGCCCATATCGGGATTATCCCGGCACAGTACAAGAACAATGGGTGTGAATATACCGCAAAAGATAGCATTGTAGTTTGAGAGCTGCTGAACTAGAATTGTTATTTTAATAAACTGTAATCTCATGAATAAGAATTAACATTTACGGTAGAAGTAAATATCACTTAGCCAGCTCACAACTGTGTAAATGTTTTGAAACTCTAGTTTTATAAAAAGACTCAATACAACGTATAATCTAAAGGTATTTAATTGTATTTATTAACTGTTAATGAAAACGTCATATAAGTAATGACAAACGATTTAAAAGTCAACGTGAATGTGAATATTTTATCATTAATTAACTATATGCATGCTTATTCAGCTTCATTTTTTAATTAAATATCATCCGATTCAAATTAAAAGTTTGTTTTCGATATTATTTTTGCTTTATTTTAATGAGCGCAAGTTTAACGAGGACAAATTGTGTTAAAACGACATTCATATAATATTTTTTCCTCTTCTGATGATAATTATCTGCGAATCAACGTGGGATATGACGCGGTAATTAAGAGAGGAGTCAACATCCGTAATTATTTGTCAACATTATTAAATTAAAGGAAACGCCGCTTCGATACTTTGTTGGGAAGGAATTTTTATTATGCTCGATAAATTCGCTCTGGAAAGCTGATAGAAGCACCGGTCTTGTAAGTTCGTTTTAAACAAGGCTTCCTGGAAGAGATAGTTTTAAAATGAAAACCCCTTATTGAAACTCAAGACTTATGTTTGTATGACAATATTTATATTGCACTAGCTGGTGCTCGCGACTTCGTCTACGCAGGATTAGGATTAGGATTACGTAGTATCGCGCATTTAAACTAAATTATGTCTATCATATCATACATTACTAACGTTTATGGCAGCGCACGCCAGAGAAGCTCGGAGAAAGGTAGGTTTTTCCTTGTTACTTGACACTTAATGTCATATTTTGGACAGCTCACACAATATCTTTATAAATTGTAGCCCATGTGTTATTCTGATGCATAAGCTTTATTAGTGGAAAATTTAATTAAAATCCATCCACACATACAAACTTTCACGTATATAATATTAGTAG